GGCCGCCGGGCCTCGCCGGTCTCTTCCCCCCCACACCGGTTCTGAAGCGAGGCCCGCGACTTGCAGCCGCCGGGCCTCGCCAGTCTCTCCCCCCCAGCCCGCCAAGCCTTCTCCCGCCCTCCCGTCTCCTGTGGTGGCGGCGGTGAGGCAGTTTGCAGAGTGTTCCCTGCGCATGCACAGGGGATGCTCTTTTACTTTGGGGGGGATTTAAATATCCCCCTGATATTTTGTTCAGATTTTCAGATTTTTGTGCACACCTGGGGACTGCCCCAAGTGTGCAGGAAAATCTGCCTGCCCCCCAGGTGCCCCCGATGTGCGGATTTAGATATCCGCACGCAGGGGGCGCCTTTCGCTATTAGTATATAGATAATGTAGTGGAGTTCCAGGCATAGCATAGTGAAATCAGCTTGAGTTTATTGGATTACATCAGAACGAAGGATAAACTAGCCAGTCCGAGGCCAGCTTATATGTGTGTCCACAGTCATACCCAAGACACCCCCAATTCCCATGATAGGCTGTATTTACAAGACCCAGGCTATAACAAGTCTACATCAGGATCCGGGTGACCCTATTGGTGCGCACTAGGATCCGCGGTGGCTATTGTTTCAGGGACTGAAGGTCTACTTGACTGCGTGGCCCGGCTAGCACAGTCGTGGTCATCTTAATACATAACAATATTATAATATGATTTTATCATGTATCTTTTAAATTCTTAGCCACCATGGCAGGCCTTGTAAAGGTAGAAAGGTGGGATGTACATTTAGCAAATAAATAAATGAGTGGGTAAAGTATACAACTTTTTTTAATGTTAACCCTGCCATTCAAACAGGACCGAAAAGGCCACCAGATCCAATCTGTGGTCTCAACTGGAAGTGTTTAAAAATGAGGTACAGAACAAGATACGCCAAACTGAAAAAGACAACAGCAAGATTGAAATTTTCATTCAAGAAGTAAGTTCATATTGAGAAGGAAAATGCAGGTAATTAACAGAGAGAACAAGGAAGAAAGGATTGCATTATTTGAACCGCTTCCCCCAAATATATTTATAAATTTTATTTTATTTCTGTTGTTTTTTAAGGGCTCCCAAAGATGCTCAGGCTTTACCAGCTAGACAGTGGGAGGCTGGTGTCCAACCTCAAGGTGGAGAAGCTGGACTTCTCCCAGAATACATCTGATCTCCAGGCTACAGAGATTAGTTCCCCTAGAGGAAATGGCAACTTCAGAGAGTCAGCTTTGAAGGCTGCTCTCCGTCCTACTACCAGGCTGGTAGAAGAGAAAAGCAAGCCTTGCTGGAATGGGAGACCCATTCTGGGTGAGCTTTTTGTTCAGGCTCCCCCCCCCCCCAGGAGATCATCCACAGTCTCATGAATGCCAGAGCTGAAACCACCGAGCTCTGCAAAGATGGCCCGATTAAAGTGGAACTTGGGTGAAAAGAAGCTGAAAGAACAGGGCTGGGCGTGGGGGGGGGGGGAGAAAGTGAAGAGAGGGGCCAGTGGGAGCATCGTGTCGACATCTGAATGCTTGGCAGGGTGCCTGGGCAGCTCTTGGGCAGGCTGGCAGAGATTGGCAGGCATGGCAAAATGCTCTCAAGGAAGAGTGGCCAACAGATACGTGACCAACAGCTGCCTTCTAAACATGCTTTGCCTCCCTCTATCTTTCCTTCCCTCCTCAGCCCCACTGGCCAAGTCCAGGGCACTCACCCAGAGGCTCTTTCTAGACCTTGTTGTATTTATTCCACAACAGGTCTTATTCCTACTATCATATACTTGACTAGCCTGATACCTGTGTTTCGCTATGGTATTTAAGTTCTGTAAAGCCAGTTATAATACTGATTATATGAAGTTTGAAATGTAACATTTGTTCTAATGGAGAAGATTGTAGTGTAAAAATGAAGTGAGACATACGTAATGCTTTTTTCTCTACTGAAGGACCTCTCTGTAGACCACATTGGTGGTTCTGCCCTCAGGTGCTAGGATCACCAGGCTGCTTGGTGAGCTCACTTTGGAGCAGGCCACATAGAACTGTCCATGTGAGAAGCAGTCGTCTGTTAAGTCAATTCCTGTCACCTTCAGTGTCTGGCCTTGGGACTTGTTGATGGTCATAGCAAAGCAGATCTTGAGGGGGAACTGCAGCCTTTTGAACTCGAAGAGGTTTTCTGATGGTATGAGTGGTATATGTGGGGAGGTTGGCCCAGCAGCATCGCTAAGGTATTTCTGCTCAGTTGGCCTCCCTAATGGATTAAAGTACCCTGGCCCTATTCCTACACCAACAGACACCCGCCTGTCTGATGTTGGGGTGTGTTTAAAGGCATTGGGGAGGCTGGGCCAGCAGCAGCACTAAGGCAGTCCAGCAGAGGAAGCCCCCCCCCCCCCCGATAGCTGTAAGCATCCCCCCCCCTCTCCTACACCTGACAGGCAGCTGCCTGTCCAGTGTAGGAGGGGGAGGGGTATTGTAAGCCATTGTGGAGATTGGGCTGGCAGGATCACTAAGGCGTTACTGCTGGGGTGGGCTCCTCGATGGCTTTAATCACTCTGCACTTACTGCTGCATCTGACAGACAGCTGCCTGTCAGGTGTAGGATGTGGGGGGAGCGTTTTTGAAGCCATTGGGGAGGCTGGGCCAACAGCGTTGCTGCACCTCACAGGTGGTTGGCCATTCCTGATTTCCTCAACTGTCAATAGCTCTCTGCAGTCTCCTGTAACTTTTTTTTAACCTCAGAACCCTGAGCTCTGCAGCTGACAATCAGAGAGTGGGGGGTGCAGGGAGGCAGCTGCCTGGCAGCCACATAGGAAGAAATGGGGGAGCACATTTTACCCCTTTTGACCCACTTACCAGTCAAATTTCTAAAAATCCCTTCCTAGTGAGCACCTACACCATGGTAGGGGTGCTCTCCCCAAATTTGGTGTCTCTAGGTCCAGCAGTTTGGCCTGGGTGTTGATTTTATGGTGAGGGGACTTTCTTTTGTATATATAGATAGATGAACTCAATTTCTCCCTCCCTACACACCTCACCCAAATCTCCAGGAATTACCTAAACCAGGGTTGGCAATTCTTTGGGAGGCAATTCCACTGGTTGTGGAGCAGCAGCATAAGAAAGGGACAAGACGTCCAAAATAGATCCTGGAAAGTAACTGAGATGAAGAGAAGTGCATGGGTTTAATATTGTCCTGGAAACCTATCCCTGTGGGGAAACAGATTTAGTTGAATTCCAGATGGGCAGCCATTATCAAGCTTAAATACTGGTCCCTCTAGCTGTCCCTTGAATATCAGATTGATTTACAGCAAATACCAGATGATGTTACTTACATCCATGCCAGGAAAAGAACTGGCAGCTCATTTGTGTATATTAAGCCTCTGTATTAAAGAGACAGACATTCCCCCCCTGCTCCTTGGTAACCCTAATAGCCATTAGTCTTTAGCAACAAAATAAGAGTATAGTGGCAAATTAGAGACTGACAAAATTTACTCCAGCATGAGTCCTGACCTAGATAGCCCAGGCTAGTCCAGTCTCCTCAGATCTTGGCAGCTAATCAGGATTGACCTTGGCTAACATTTGGATGGGAGACCTCCAAGGAATATCAGGGTCATGAAGCAGAGGTAAGCAATGGGCAAACCACCACTATAAATGTATCTTGCCTTGAAAACCTCATGGAGTTGTCATAAACCCGCTGTGACTTGGTGGCAGAAAACCAACAAAAACAAACTTTTGTACAAAAATGTGTTAGTCTTTTTTTTAAAAAATATTTTCTTTATTCATTTTTCCACCAAATCTAATAACAATAACCATTGTTACTCATATTTACATCAACTTGTGCAGAGTTCTTCCCGTCATATCATTAGTAATGCCTTCACTTTTCTTATCAAGTCTAGAACACTTCATTCCAACTATTCTATAATACAAAATTCTAATAAATCAAACAGTACCCATAATTTTAAGAACTTAATTATCTTACATGCCTTATGATTAATTTTCATTATCATATCAGTTTTATCCACCTATAAAATTTTGCCCAAAATTTTTCAAACTCTTCCCAGCCTTTTTCCTAGTTCCGCTACATCTATTAATTTTAACTTCAATTCTTCTTTAGTAGGAATATCCTCATTTTTCCATTTACTAGCATATAGAATCCTAGCTGCAGTGATTATATGCATCACTAAATAACTTTCCCTATTTTTGAAATCATCTGGGATAAAATTCAATAAAAAACATTCTGGTTCAAATGGCATTTGTCTACCTAATATTTCTTCCACCATTTCTTTTACCATCTTCCAATATTTTTTAGACTTATTGCATGTCCACCATAGATGTGTTAGTCTTTATGATATCTTTGGGCCCTGTTTTATGAAGCTTGTTTTAAGATCATTTCTGCGATAAAGGGATTAAAAAATTACAAAACTTTAATTCCTACAGACAAATGTAATCCTGCAACAGCTAAAAAAACGGATTCTCCAGGGGAAGTTGGATATCTACCCAAGTCTTAGTTTGTCCATCCAAAGTGACCTGAAGCCCCACTATAAAGGTAAAAGATTTTCCAGTGGAGTAGCTATAGATGATTTTTTTCCTGTAAGGACTTGGCACTAATGCTCATCTAGAGAGGTTTCTGCAAGGGGGTGGAGCAGATTTCAGTCAGGGTATTATAGTACAGGATCTGATGGGGTCTCCAGGGCTGGTTCTATGACTGCTGCAGTTGCTGGGCAGAAGAATGGTACCAAAGCCCCTTGATGGTTGCGGGAGATAAGTGTGGGTCTTACCTCTGGCTCTGGCTGTCGGTTGACTCAGCTGTGGTGTGAAGGTCCCTCAAGGTGATAGAGGCAAACGATTGGTTGCCCATGATGAGGCTTTGAGTGTAGGCAGGAGGGTAACAGAAACCATGCCTCTGTGGCCTGAAGGGGCCAGGCAAGGGAGCAGTCCAGAGCAAAGTTGGTCACCAGGAGGCGCAGCTGGACCCAGACCTTCTCCAGGGAGGAAGACGACATGCAAGAATGGCTGATTCCCCCAAATCACTGTATGGGGGAGGGGCTTGCAAGGTCTGTGAGGAGCTACTTGAGCTCCTTCAGCCCACAGTCAAGGAAGGCATGGTTGTGGCTGTTCTTCTTTCTAAGATGCTAGCACATGAGAACAAAAGGAGAACCACAATGGGAGGAGATGGATGAGGGTGAACCTTCAGTCTCCTCCCACTATGAGGCCTCTTTAGGGGTGGAGGATGGACCTGATACGGCCTCTACTAGCCTCATTCCCACGAAGCCTGAAAGGCAGTGCTCAACTGCAAACTGTCAACTGCAAACCTTCAGGTGACCATCCCTCCACGCTCCTAGTGCTGACTCACAGGGATTTTGTATGGGTTTCTGTTCCATATTAAAAAGGTTTGCCTCATAAATGACACCGATGTGAATAATAATTAATTAATAATTATCGTATGGCATTGTGTGTAGTACAGCCAGGAGATCCTAAGATTGTCTAGCAGCCAGAAGTTCTAGCTCTTTTAGCGTTATGCGCCACTAGGTGGCGAGCTAGACTTGTTTTTAAGGGAAGAGACATTTCAGAGGTGGTTTGCCATTGCCTGCCTCTGCATCATGACCTGGTATTCCTTGGAGGTTGCCCTTCCAAATACTAGCCAAGGCTGACTCTGCTTCGCTTCTGAGATCTGACGAGATCGGGCTAGCCTGGGCTATCCAGGTGAGTATACTGATGTGAATAGTGCTATATCAAACAACAGTCTGTTTTGCTCAGATGTTAATGCTTTCACATTTCTAATGCTAGTATCATTATCCCTTTTTCAGAAGGGAGGGCTGTGACTTTCTCCATTGCACGAGCCCCTGACTAGCAACCAGGCAATGCTTGATAATGGGGGGGGGGGGTTGTGGACGGGAAAATGGGGAGACTGCAGTGTCACGTGCAGTGCTGCATCACTTCTGGCAACACTTCATAATAAAATAATTATAGATTTTGTAATCAATCATTTATACAGTGCAATCCTATGCAAGATTAATCCAATCTAAGCCTACTGATATTGATGGGTTTTGACTGGAGTAACTGCACATGATGCAGCTACTAGTTATCTAAATTAGATGTCTGGCTTTTAACCATGTAAGACTGTATAATCAGTGAAGGCAAGTGTTGGATTGTAGCTGGGACTGAGGCTGATGGAATACTGAACTGAAAGTAAGCCCTGTGGAATAAAACTACTTACTTCTAAGTAAGCATGCAGAGGATTGCACTGCAAGGAAGTTCCTAGTGGAAGTTATGTCTCTGCCAAGAGTTCACCAGGTGTCCTTAGGAAAGCTGTTTTTTACTTGACTTCAGATCAAAAATTATTATAATGACCACGGGACCATGAAGATTACGAAGATCATATACATGAAGTAATATGAACACTCTAAAGCACTACATAGATGCACAGTTTGTTGTTATTATGTCATGTACTTGGGGGCCCTTGTGGGAGTAAAAAAAGGTAAAGGTTCCCTTGCTCGAAGGCCAGTTGAATCCGACTCTAGGGTTGCAGTGCTCATCTCCGTTTCAAAGCCGAAGAGCCAGCGCTGTCCGAAGACATTTCCGTGGTCACGTGGCCGGCATGACTAAACACCAAGGCGCACGGAATGCTGTTACCTTCCCACTGAAGTGGTACCTATTTATCTACTTGCAATTTCTTGCTTTCGAACTGCTAGGTTGGCAGGAGCTGGAACTAGAGACGGGAGCTCACTCCGTCATGCGGCACACTTGAGTCTCGAACTGCTGAACTACTGACCTTCCACAGCCTGCAGTTCAGCGTCTTAACCACTTGAGCCAACGCAGCTCCTTGTGGGAGTAGCCCACATATTTTTCTTCACAATGTATTGCGTCTTCGAAGACCGACACGAGCCATTAGTACCTTTGTCACTTGTTTGGTGGGTCTGATGAGGCTCCAACATCACAGAACATAACTGCACATGGAAGCAATATGGGGAGGAGGTTTGCAAAGGACCTCTGATCACTCTCTGGTTAAGTAGTGCTCTCTTACTGCCCCCCCCCCAACCCTGCACTTCCCATCACACGTGAACACACATGAATTTGCCTTATACCGAGTCAGACCACTGATCCATCAAGGTCAGTATTATTCACTCAGTCTGGCAACAGTTCTCCAGGGTTTTAGGGAGAGGGGTCTTTCACATTACCTACTATCTGGTCCTTATACCAGGGATTGAACTTTGAATCTTCTGCATGCAAAGCAGAGCCTCTTCTATTCAGCCGCAGCCCCTCCATCTTTTGTTCTCAGAGTTCTTCCCAGAACCAGTCTGGTGTAGTGGTTAAGTGCGCGGACTCTAATCTGGGAGAACTGGGTTTGATTCCCCACTCCTCCACTTGCGCCTACTGGATGACCTTGGGCAAGCCATAGTTCTGGCACAGCTGTTCTTGAAAAAGAGCAGTTTCTGTCAGAGCTCTCTCAGCCCCACCTACCTCACAGGGTGTCTGTTGTGGGGAAGGGAAAGGAGTTTGTAAGCTGCTCTGAGACACCTTTGGGTAGTGAAGGGCAGGGTATAAATCCAGTCTCCTCCTCCTCCTCCTCCTCCTTCTTCCCTCCAAACCTATTATACAGCCCCCACTGTCTCTGGCACAACTGCTGATGAAGTGATTCCTATGACTCAGTGGACAGGTACACTGTAATACCCAACTGCTGTCTGTGCGTATGATAACCTTGTTCTATGAAGCATGGTAGTGCTGGGTATCATGATGGTACTGCGTAACTGAGTTATATTTCGAAAATAATAAGAAACTCCCCCAAATAGTTTGACAGGAAGGGTCTGAAATGGCAAAAGTAGGTTTAGTTTAGTCTTAAAGGGACACTTATGAGTTGGCCTCCTGGTATCCATTTAGCCAATACTTGGTCTTCAAGAATGGCCAGCCAGGTGACCCGTGAAGTTCAAGGGACTTTCCAAACAGGAGACAGAAGAGATGGCCACGCATTGCTTAAAACAATTGCATAGTCATTTTGACTGCCCCAAACCTACTGATCATTTCATTGGATAGGGAAGGGGGGAAAACACCTTGGTGTGTTTTGCTCACATCATTAGCCATACTTCCCTCCACAGAGGCCTCAAAAGTTAAGGGTCAAGGATCCTATGAGCGGATGAAGACAATCCTCACAGAAGGCATTGAGAAAGAGGTAACGAACCAGATGTTTGAGAGGGCCAAATCCAAGATGAAGAGTCAGTTCCGTAAACTGAAGGTAAGTTATTAAATTGTTTGTGCTGATGATAATCACATTCTGTCAGGAGTCCTTAAGGTTCAAGGTCTGTTTTTGTCACAGTCCGTTGACTAGGAGCAGCAGCTCTCCAGGGTCTCAGGCAGAAGGTTTTCCTGAGATCTTCCCTCCTTTTAACTGGAATTGATAAGAAATGAAGCTTGGAGATAAAGCATATAAACCAGATGTTCTACTGTTGAGCTACGACCCATCTCTGATGCATTGCTAACAGTTTCATATGTATCATCCTCTGATTCTTGCAGGAAGATATCTTGCAGAACCTGAAGGGACAAATTTCCACTGCGTTCAGTCTGGTCTTCCTGCAGCAAGAGCGGGTTGCCGTGCATTTGGCAGGTATGTATGGACCTATCTAAAACCAACCAATATGGTTACCCCTCTGGAATTAGAATGAAAGAGCAAGGGCCAAACTACATGATACTTTTGGTCATGAGCTGGGTCAGGATTTTCCCAGCCCAACTTGCTTTCCCTGTACCTAATTAACAGCCGTGAGGAATTCAGCTGAATTCAGTTCACGACTACAGTACCGGAGAGGAAGAGTTCTAGCCTTCTCCCCTGCACCATTCTTCTCAGGTAAAACAGTCTTGGGGGTGCTTTTTGCCTCATTCCAGAGCTGCAGCACACCCTGGCCCCACAGTCCTGATCTAAATGGGACCCTGTGGTGCTTGGGTAAGTAAGTTCACTGCAGCTGTTGGGAGTTCGGTTGGGAGTACATAGTTTGGCCCTTAGATACAGCTATTCCTGTGGTGTAAGAACATGAGAATTGTCCCGGATTAGGCCAAAGGTCCACCCAGCCAAAGACTTTAAAAGGCCAGCCAGATGCCTCTAGGAAATGCACAAACAGAATGTGAAGGTAAGGGGCTTCTCCTATGGCTTGTCCACCAGGGATGTATGTGGCTTTTGAACATGGAGGTTTCATTTAGAAGAAGAAAAAAAGTTGGTTTTATACAGGGGTCGTTTAGTAGAAAAAGAGCTAGGGGAACTCATTAGCATATGCCACACCCCCTGACATCACCAGAAGTGTGTCATAAGGGCACACCCCCTGCCATCACTGGAAGTGTGTCAGGCGGGAAGCAGCGAGTCAGAGGCCGCTGAGGGAGGGCTGAAGGTGGGCACGACAGGGAAGCTACGCTGCGGCACCAGTGGCGTGGCCCCCGGGCCAACAGGACCACCGCCGGCACACCCACAACTACGCCCGGGATGACCAGAAGGCATCCGGGCTTATCAAGGGGCGTGGGGCCAGACCGGGAATAGGGGAGTGGGTCTGGCATGGGGAGACATGTAACGGGGGGCCTTACTGGCTCCCAAGCAGGGGTGATCTCCCAGCAGAGGAATCTCGCCGCCTCCGGACTCCCATGCCACCAATCCAAGATGGCCGCCGCTTGTCGTTGTCCGGCCGATTTTGGCGGGCTCTGCTTCTTCAGGCGGTCGATGGCGTTTCTGAGTGTTCCGCGCTGCCGCCGCCTCTACTAGGTCCGCCGGAGGGCGAGTAGGCCCCACTGATGGTCGTGGCCAACGTTTTGTCCTCAGCTGAGGAGAAACCGTCAGAGTGCTCTGCTGCCGTCGCCATCTGTCTGCACACAGCAGCACTCGTCGTCCTCTCCGCTTTCTTGTTGCTCTTGACTCTCGTCGAGGAGCAGAGAAAGGGAGAGAAATAAAGAGAAATAAGGAGAAATAAAGAGAAGGTTAAGAACAGGAGAGATTTAGAAGGAGAAAAAAGGCAAAAGAATGTAGCTGAGTGGGAAAGATTTAGTCACCAAAGCAGAGCTTTGACTCTAGCTGCTACTCCCTAAGAGGCAGGAATAGAAACTGAAAGCGGGGCTATTCCCAAGGCACCAAGAGGAAGGGGAAAAAAGTGTTTCCTGCCTCCCTAAAGGAAAGGTGGAAATAACCCCCATGGAGATGTCCTCCACCTCAGAGGGAGAACACTGTGATATCATTGTGTTGGCATGACATTCTAGGACTCCCTCAAAAAAACTCTTATGGTAAAACCAGAGTCAATCTGGAAGTGTTATTGTGGTGTTGGAATTACACCAGTGTGTATTTCTGCCCCATATACTTCCTGCCAGTTGCTAGCACTTTTTGTATACAATAAAGCTATTTGTGTTTAAAATCACTTTCTTTCTTCCTAATTTCATTTTGGGGTATCCCCACTGAGATCCACCTGGTATACGCAGACCTAAAAGGTCCTGTGTTGTTCCTTTCTGGAACCCCCTTTTAAAGCTAATTTTTCCTACTTTGGGCCCAGTTTGGGTAACAGGAGGACTCTGAGGAACTGGAAGTGTCATCACAGGATGTGACATCATACCCTTGCTGAGATAGTTATCACCAAATATCACCCTCCCCCAGCACTGCCTCCCCCAAATCTCCAGGAATGTCCTGAGCCAGTGTGGCAGCCCTAATGGGATAGAGCCGCCAGGTGTCTCAGGGTATGGTTAGCGCCATAGGTGTGAAATACAGCAGTTTGCTAGGAGGAGTGCCGTGTAAGCTGCTTTGAACCCCAGAAAGGAAGACACATGAATGGAATAAACTAGTATGTTTAGATTTCATTAAAGAAAACACTGCTGGGAATGAGGGAGGGCTTTCTCCTTCCTTCATTTGTTACTTTTCTGCTGAAGTTCCCTGGGATTCCTGGCTCCAGTCTGCAGAAACACATGCCTGGAAGAGAGTAGTTGCAGCAGCAGGCAGGGAAAGGGTTAGGACCTTGTCCTCACAGTGCTTCCCAGCTAAAAAACAGCCTCTGAGTCTCTTTTAAACAAGCAGCAATTGGAGTTTACACAAACATATTTGCATGTTAAGATCTGCTCTTCAAGGCAACCTGTTTTTCTTTCGTGAACGCAGGAGGACATGCTGCCTACTTAACAATTCCAGCCTCATTTGTTCCTCACATTCCTCAGATGAAGAAAACCAGTCCTTATAGAGGCGGTTGTATCATTTGGCTTGTAAATATTTGATCAGACGTACAGTTTTGGAATATCTTGAGTTGAAAGCTTCATTAAATTACTACTTTCTCTTTTTCTTTGCAGATATTGAGAAAGAATGCAGAGAAATCGAGGAGATCTATAATGAGTTGCAAAATGATAATTAACAAGATTTTGGGTTTTTTAAATTGTTTTTATTTTTTGCAAGTCAGTTTTGCTTCACAAGTGGTTGGCTGCTGTGTCAAATAGGATGCTAGACTAGATGGCTCACTGGTCTGATTGCAGGGCTCTTCTTATGTTCTTACAATATTATATTTCAACGTGTGAGTTGTGTAAGACTATCTAATGTTTCAGAAATCGCTTTGGAGAGAATCTCAGGGATTTTTATCTTTTAATCTTAAAATAGAGGATTAGGGATGATATTTCTCTTACTCAGTGTTCCCTCTAAGCTGAGTTAGTGTGAGCCAGCTCACAGTTTTTTAGCCTCCGGCTCACACATTTTTGTCTTAGCTCAGGAAGGATGACTCCAGAGCAGACTAATCTATGCAGGAGCCAAATTGCTCACTCACAACTTTAATGCCAGTAGCTCACAAAGTAGAATATTTGCTCACAAGACTCCACAGCTTAGAGGGAACATTGGTTACTGTTTCTGATTTAATTTACATATGCAAGAATTTTGTATCATTGTGATTGCTTCATGCTTACTTGCTTCAAGAACTATTAGGTTGCTTTTAAATAAAAATCATAAGAGAAACATGAGTGATTTTTGGCTGGGATACACGGTTTTCACTTGACAACTGGAATTAGTAAACTACTTCACTCAGAGGGCTGTTAACTTATAGAGACATGTTATTGAATAGTCTTCTCAGTATAGCCCTGTGGTTCAGTGGTTAATGTGGTGCTTTGGAACAGGCAAAGAGACCCTTCATTTCATTTGTTTTAAAGGAAATACTTCTCTTACAGTGAGGGGTGGATAACTTACATCTGTTTCACATGTGTTTAGTGCAGATATTTGGTTTTGTGTTAAATGAATGTGAGGTTGGTTAGACTGAGAGTGTGTGACTGGCCCAAGGTCACCCAGTGAGCTTCCCTGGTAGAGTGAGGATTCGAACCTGGGTCTCCCAGATCCTAGTCCAACATTCTAAACCACACTGAAATGATTATTAGAAATTATTATTATAAAGTAAAAATAGCAGTGGCAAGCAACAGGGAGCTTTGCTGAATAATGTAAGCAGAAAAGATAAGTCTCAGCTTCTAGGAACTTAGTGTGCATTTCAACCACTGTCAAGAAAAAAAATGGGAAGGGAGTCGTGGAGCGGTCAAAAGCAACAAGGGGTGTACACATGTGCAGAAGATGCGTGAACTCATTTTCACTGTGGATGAGGACTGAGGGTTAAGCCAAGAGAAGAGAGGATGGGAAGGACAGAGGTGGGATTACAACCTTGATGTTCTAAGCATATAAAGACTGGGGGGGGGGGGACTTGGGTACTACCATTTAAGCTAGTAGGAGTCCTCGTTTTATTGGAGTATATCTCATACAGAGCAGATGAGGCAGACAACCTGCATCTGGCTGTACCATCCATACGAAGAAATCTGCCTGCACATAGAAAACCAGAGTGTGGGGAAACAGGTTTGTTGTACACAGAGGGAAATATACTTAGGAGAAGCATTCCATCATGTGACCCTCCTCTTCTTGCTGTCTGAACTGGTATTACAGCCTAGCCGACTAGATGGGTATCCTGCAGCGTGGCACAGAAGCCGCGCCGCGCGATCGCACTAGCAATCGCTCTTTGTGCGCATGCGCTGTTGGGCGCTGTTGCGCAACCTGCTATTTTGCAGTATTTCTATTTTTGGCTAGGGGGCAAGCCCCAACCCATGCCCTGCCTGGTTCCACACTGTACAAATTTCCACAGCTCCCCAAGAGATGACAAGGGCAAGACAAAACATATTTATACTTAGGAAATAGTGAAGAATGACAATGCCCAAACATTGCATTGGGTGTGGTGGCAGCCCACCATGACACCTCTTCAGCATACTCCACAAGGTACCCTGTTGGAGCTGGGCTGAGTTTCTGTCTGCCAGAACATCTGTTTCCAAGGAAGGTATTGTGCCCAAGCCCACTGCCCGGGTCAAAGGAATGCCTGGGACATCTTCAGCAAATACCTTCTCTGTGGCAGGGCCCTTTGCAGGCTTTCTTCTGATGAAGTTGACTCCTGTTTTCCACACCCTTGGCTCTCACTGCAGAAAGCTGCAAGGCAGGAACTAGGACAGTGGTGGCGAACCTATGGCACGCGTGCCAGAGGCGGCATGCAGAGCCATCTCAGTGGCCACGCGTGCCATCACTGCAGCCAGGCCCAGACCGTCATTAAAGTGTGGAATTCTCTACCAAATAATTTAAAGTAAATGAAAGCATTTGGGATTCTTTCCTTACTTCGTTTGGATCATCTTATGTTAATGTATGAGTTGTTTTTTCTAAACTAAAACCTCAGTATTCAGGTTAAATTGCCGTGTTGGCACTCTGCGATAAATAAGTGGGTTTTGGGTTGCAGTTTGGGCACTCGGTCTCTAAAAGGTTCACCATCACTGAACTAGGATATCAGCCTCTACCTTGGCCAGATGCTACAAACTGAACACAAACAGGTCTGCAGATGCAGCCTTTAGCAGGAGAGTTCTCCATCAGGTGGTCCCTCAGTCATTCCTCCTGCACTCAACTGATTATCATGAACACACATGAAGCTGCTTTATACTGAATCAGACCCTTGGTCCATCAAGGCCAGTATTTTTTGCTCAAACTGGCAGCAGCTTTCCAGGGTCTCAGGCAGAGGTGTCTCACATCACCTACTGCCCGGTCCTTTCAACTGGAAATGCTGGGGATTGAACCGGGGACTTTCTGCATGCAAAGCAGATGCTCCATCACTGAGCCACAGCCCCTCCCTTTATCCACTTGGGTTGGTACAGCTTTTCAACGTCCCATCTCAGGATACCTTCTTGCATAGCTGAAGAATGAAATATTGGATGTACTAAGAGGATATTTCCCCTCGCTTGTGGAATGGAAGCTATCCTTTCCGTCCTTTGGGGATGGAAGAATTCTGGGAGAGGAACTACAAAATCATTCAAAGGACAAGGTTCCTCAAAAGAACTATGGAATATGTCTAGATTTGAAGCTTGCAAGCATGAAATGGGGTTCACTCCTACCGAGAAATAGGAACACTGCATAATCATTGCCTAACCCCTACCTGTGGAGGGAGTAGGAGGTGTAACCTGTCTCTGGCTGCCTTCCATTCTATCAATGACAAGAAAATCTTCACAGAAGGCCCAATGTTTCCTTCTGTTATTAGGAAGTGCACTTCCAGATGGCTTCCTCTGGTGATCTTAGTGCTTCTACAGGTCACTGGCACATTGACAAAACTTGCTGGTTTTTTCTAACCATTTATTTTCCTGTGCCAATCACATTGTTGTAGCCAATTCCAGTTTAAAAACTCCTACCCTCTGCTCCAATTCAAGCCTTGGTGTTTAGTCATGTCGGCTGCAAGACCATGGCCCCCCCTCACACGGACCAGATATCGCGGGGGGGGGGAGGCGTGGCTAATTGCCCTGGAGGAAACTAACGCACGGCTGCCTGAGCACACGTCCCGGTTGAGGTCCCGTTGTTAGGGGGGGAGATGCCAACCAGACGGGTATCCTGCAGCGCGGCACAGAAGCCGCGCTGCGCGATCGCACTAGCAATCACTCTTTGTGTGCGTGCGCTGTTGGGTGCTGTTGCGTAACCTGCGGAGACGGGCGCCAGATGCCACGTAAGTCCACCAGAAACGCGATCAGACGCCCACCCTTGGCCCGCGGTTTCTGGAAACTAGTATCTCGTAAGTACTAGTTTTTTAATCCGCACCTGCGGGGAGCCACAGATTTGCCATGGGAGCACTGCGCTTCTCAGATGTTGGGGTGTGACTGCGCCCAGAAAATCCACAGGACTGCCTCTCCCGCGGCACTTGCCGCGTGACCGGGGCCAATGGAAGTCTTCGGACAGCACTGGCTCTTTGGCTTGGAAATGGTGATGAGCATCGCCACCTACAGTCAGATTTTACTGGCTTTCCAGCAAGGGAAACCTTTACCTAAATTGATCTTATTGCTGGAATATTTTATTGGTTAGATTTTTTTTTTTTGTTAATCATGCAGTGTTATACTTCACATCTTAAAGTACACTTTGGAGAATATTGGTTTTTAAAAGAATGCCTAATGAAACCAACCTACCATTGATCAATTTGAATCCCAATTTTAAATTCAAGGCTTTTTGTTTTTTTAATGGATTTTATTGGTCATATTCCAGCCCTTGTTGATGACTCAGTTCAGAAACTGCGAATTCCCGGAAATGAAACCGACAGAGAAAGTGAAAGTGAAAAACAGGCAGGGGCGCGGCAAACTGCCGCCCTCACACCCGCCAAAAGCCCCCTCCCCCGAGCAAGTCCCGGGTACTGGCAGTGGTACTGCAGCGCTCATCCTCTGCAGGGGCGGAGGAGCGGGTCCCGCCGCGGGCTTGGCCGGAGACCGTCCAGCACTCGCCCCCATCCGTCACTTTCCACGGCCAGCCCCAATGCTCCTCCGCGCGCTGGTTCCCAGCCGGGCAGTCCCCCTTGGCTAGCTGCGCCACGATCCGCCATTGGCTCCCGCCGCCGTCTCATTGGGGCGAGGCAGTCGAGTAAGGTTTAATTTTGCTTGCTTGGATTGGTACAGGGTCTATTAAAGAAGTCTTTTCAGAAATTATTTTTCTTTCACTCTATATTTGAGATCCTAATGAACAACCTGAATCATCTGAGGGTATCAAAGAGCCTCTATCATTGAAGGTCTTCTCCAGATTCATTCAGGAACCAACTGTGAGTATGTGATTTTTGATAAGCAGGGGGTTACTTTTGAGCTTTAATTGCAGGTGATCTCTCTAGTATGTGATGTTTATTGTGTGTTTGTGTGTGTCTGAACATTTTTCTTTTTGTGCGTGAGAATGGATTATTTCCTGCACAAGGTCTGTATTGAACCTAAGCCACTTTGAGTTTTCCTATTGAAATCATTAGCAGTTGCCTTCCCATTCACTTCAGTGGGGTTTGCTCAGGAGAAGTTTGGGGTAGAGGATTTTATTCTGTATTTATGTAATTGTTTGATTCTTGTTCAGTGATGACAAATAGTCTGGAAGATGGGTTAACACCCACATTCCTCTTAGAAGGGTCAAAATCTTCTGATATTCAGTGCTCTTCAGGGAAGGGTGGGGTGCAAACATGATCTATATAAAGTAATCCACCTACTGGGGACCTGCAGCCCCTGGGTGATGATTTAATCCAGTATTGATAACATTGCCCAGTCAACTGTGCAACCGAGTTTCACCCAGAACAGCCTTTAGGAGAGACAGGGATCCCGTTTAATATGCTTTCCACCTATTAATTGTTGCAGAGAATCACCATTAGTGTTTACTCGCCCTATCTCTGCCACCTCGTTTGTATGCAGGGAAAAAACAATGGTGAACTCATTACAAGGGAGACTTACAGATGTATTTTATAGTCTGGAGATAAGAGGTGCTGAGCTTTCCTCAGTGGGGACATATTAAAATTAAGGACAGTGATTGCCAATAGACAATAGATGATTGCCAATGGAGAATATAATTGCCCATATGGAACAATGAAGAGGACAGTTGCTCAGGGCACGGACTTCTTATTTAACATGCCCAAGATATAAGGCTTCTATTTCCTTTAAGTCATTCCTCCTATTTGACCCATCAAATGGTGCTTGCTCCACGCACCCACCCACCCGTGGAAAGGGGGGGCAGCGGCCGTGGAGAGTGGGGGGGCATCTGTGCCAGCTGCCATCGCGGACGCTGGTGCCAGCTGCTGCTGCCCTTGAAGGTGCCCACTGTGGTGGGTGCGCAATGCGGGGATGTACTAAAAGGAAGGACAGGATTGCCCATTGGAAACAATGGGAGACGCTGGAAGACCCATTGGAAATAATGGGAGCCTGGAATGCCAATTGACTTGCATGGGCTTCATTGGAAAACATTACAGTACAAGTAGAGCTGCAATAAAAATGCGGAATGGATTTTCCATTAGGGACACTGGGCCCAAATACACTACTCTGGGGATAGAATTAGAGACCACGGAGTAGAATGACAGCCCCTGGAAGTAACAGAAGTGTTCAGGAACTGGGATGACAGGCCACGGAGTGGAATGACTGCCCCAGGGTGGAGCAGGAATATTCAGAACTGGAATGACAGGGCCAAGAGTGGAATGACGGCTCCAGGGCATACCAGGAGTGTTCTGGGACTGGAATGACAGAGCCAAGAGTGGAATGACAGCCCCAGGGTGGAGCAGGAGTGTTCTGGAACTGGAATGACAGGCCACGGAGTGCAATGACAGCCCCAGGGTGTAATCTGCCACGCTCAAAATAATAGTTGCTAGTGCCTTTTCCACTTTGCTGGCAACTCCATCAGCTAGTGGGTTTGGAGGAGCTTCAACATACAGCCACAAGCCTTCACGTTTAAGATAGTGCTGCATTCAAAGAGACCACACATTATAGTTTGTGGAAGTAAGCTTGTCCACCAGCTGAGCAGTCGGTACCTGGGCCATGGTGACGTCCTCGTCCAGCAGCTGGTCCTCAGTCTCTCTCGACTCCTCCGAGCTGCTATCTGTGAAGCCTGGCTGAGCACGTCTTCCACGTCGTCCTCAGAAGCAGCAGCTATAGACATTCACTCAGCCACAGGTCACCTCACCTAAAGCCTCCAGAGCATGGCGAAGACTGGGCCCATAACCCTGTTGCGGTAGGATGATGATAAGCTCTGAGCTGGTGAGGTCTTAGCAATAGAAAGCAACAGTCCAAACTATCTTGTGCTAACTATTTACATTTATTTACATAATTTACACTGAACTGGTATACACTTACAAAGTGCTTCACCAGACACCACATCTGGAAGCAGAAAATGAACAGTACAGTCTATTCACAAATATATACATCTCAGCAAGAACAATCACCAATCAGCATTCAGTGCTGAGTCATTATGCACAGGCATTCTTGCACTGGTCACAACCTGTATGAACTAGCTAATGTAGTTGTCACTAACTGTCAGTTAGATCAGTTAGATCACCAGCCTGATGTCTTATCAAACAATACTTATATGCTGACAGTTCGCTATGACCAATGTGTTCTCTTGACAAAATTCTGTCAGCCTTTGCCCTCCTTAATTTTGTTCTCCAAGGCCAAACTTGTCTGTTAGTGAAACCTAAACTGAAAAACAAGCCTAGCTCACCACTTAGTGGTGCATAGTGCTAAAAGAGCTAGAACTGTTGCCTGCCAGATAATCTTAAAATCTCCTGGCTATTCTACACACAATGCCAGAAAGATTCATCTGTCCCCTTCTGTTGCCAGCTTCTGCCAGCAGGTGAAGACTTCTGTATTTCAGGTGGTGCTCCCTCAGTGATCTGTCCCTCTTGCCCAATGTTGTAATAGTTTTAAAAGTTGTTTCTTTGTATGTTTTTAACTCTGGTTGTAATGCCTTTAATTATATATTGCTGTTGATATAGTTCTTTTGGTTGGTTTTAATAGATATGCCAATAAAGGTTCTGATTGATTGCTTAATTGATTGGTTTTAATGGTTTTAAAATGAGATTTTATTATGGATATTTTAATTTGTTAGCCACCTTGGTGGCATGTTGAGGGCAGAAAAGGCAGGATATAAATTTGGTAAAATAAATTTAAAAAATGAAAATTGGTAAGAAAACAAATATCAGGAGGTGGGGTGGTGGTGGTTGTAAAGAGAAACTAAAGCAGCAAGTTTCCCTACTCAGAAGGGTAGGGAGGGAGGTTTCTATGACAATTTCACCTTCCCTCCCACTGTTTCCCTTTATCTTGTTCTGGGGAGAGCAGCCCCTTTTCCTTCCTTCTTTATTTTTCTCTGGCCATCCCACCCAGTCATTTCCTTCCTTTCAAGCTCATTTGATCCAGTGATCAAACTGAGCAACAAGAGGTTTAAACTGATCTGCAGGAAGTAGAGTTCCCAAGTCCTATCTCCCCCCCCAGCGGGGGACTTTGGGGGGGGCGTTCCTGGAGGGGCGGGGCATTCCCGACGTGATGACATCACGTTGGGGACGCCCCCCCCACCCGCTCTACAGGAGCGCCAGCTCCCTGCAGTTAAAGGGGCCCCTTTAACTGCAGGGAGCCGGCGTTTCCGCGCGCCTGATCAGCTGGCCCGCAGCCACCCCCTCCCTCCTCTCTCAATAGAGAAGGGAGAGGGGTGGCGGCGGGTGTTGGGGCTTGGGGGCAGGGCTTCCCCCGGTGGCCAGCTGGCTGCCAGCAGGTAGAAGCCCCCCCAAAGTGGGGGACCCCTGCGAACCCCGGGGGCAACCCTAGCAGGAAGAGCCAGCCCCAGCTCAGCCAGGGTGATAACTGAGAGCTGCACACTGGCTTGGCTGAGGCTCTGTTTAAATGGAGCTGCAAAAGTAGCCAGCCCAGGATTGGCTGTGATAGCGCAAGGCCACGTGGAGCTTTCAGCTCCCACCATCACAGCTGATCCTCTCCTGCCTCCCCACTGTACACAGGTCCTGGGGCCAGCTTCTTGTGCAGCATGGTTTAAACGGTGCAGGGTCGGGCTTAGGCTTGCCAAGTCCCCCCGGGGGGCGGGGAAACCCCCACCCCAGAGGCCCGTTACCCGCCGCCGGCGGATCGGGCCCCAGGGGGAACCCCACCCCCAAAGCACGTGACGTGCCTGGCGTCAGCACGTCACCCAGAAGTGACGCAGCCACGCCGGGGGCAGGGCCACGGTCATCCGAGGGAAAACTCTATGCTTTTCCTTCAGATGACTGCGGGCCCGCCCCTGACGCACCCGACGCGGCCGCGTCACTTCTGGGTGACGTGCTGACATTCCGCGCACTCCCGGAACGGAACTGGAGTCCCCCGCTGTACATGCAGCGGGGACTTGGCAACCCTAGTCGGGCTGTTTTTTTTTTTTTTATGGTATTTTTCTTCTTGGGTCTATTGGACCTGAAAAAAAAATGGGATTTTCAAAAAATCCTGGATCCAAATACCATACTGATACTGGATCTGGGATTTTTCAGAAAAACTGATTTTTTTCCGGGTCCAGTAGACCTGAACTGAAAAAAATACTGGGGTTATTTTTTTGGTAACCCCTAGTTCAGGTCGTGTCCACTCAATGAAATAATTATACTGTGACGTTGCAAGTTGGACAAGAATAGAAAAAATGTCTGTGCTCTCTGCATTGCACAAGGGAGAGGCACAGCTCCTTTCTGCTCCCACTCTTCCAAGCTAGGTAGGGACAGAAGCAATGTTTTTAAGGCCACATTGCAAAAAGGAAGGGTTGAAGGAGCTAGTTTCTAAACCCTCCCCTTCCAAGTTGCATGGGGACATGCTTTTAATTTGTGCACTGCAAAAGGAAGAAAAACAAGCTGCCCTGACTGTCTGGGGACAGACGCAGTGCTTTTAATTGCTACATTGCAAAAGATAGAGGAGAAAGAGCTTGTTTATTTCCTGGTTTATTTCTTTTTCACTGCAGCCTAAAGTGTTAGTTTGGGGAAGGCATAAGAGAACAGAAATCAGCTGGACTTCTGATAACATCCCCCTGATTTGCTGCTTGTTGGCAAGTCTGGGAGGCAGCAAAGTTTCCAGGATGGGAGATCTGAGGAACTCAAGTTCCATCTGGGAGTTGACGTCTGATGGATTTTAATTGTTATTTACCAGATTTCAATTGTTATTGATATATTATATACAATGTTTTAACAAATGTAAGCCGTCCTGAGCCTGCGTATTGGGGAGGGCGGGGTATAAGTTGAAAAATAAATACATAAATAAATAAATGGCTGTGAGTAGCCTGTTCTTGCATGAACTGTTTGCAGAGGGTTGGTTAATTGTCTGTTTGCTAATGAGAAATGAGGTGTACTGGCCAGTGTTCAAATATCCCTATCTTCAGCTGGAGATAAAACAGGTAGAATGCTTCCTTACCAACTGCGGTTTGATATCTGTCCAAATACCATGTTTAGATAACTAAACTATGGTTGAATCCAGGTATGATGGTTAAGAAATAGCCCGAATGTGGTAGAATTAATGACTGTTGATGGAGTGTATTTTGCCTTATTGGATTTGTCACTTCCATATGATAAACTAGTGGTTTTGGTGGCAAGGAGCACCTTTCGTCAGTAATTATTGTCCTGTTGTAACCTATCCATGCCAGAAATCCTTGACTTAACACCACGAATTTACTAAGAATGTCCTTTACTTGAGCTGGTTTTGAAGGCAGTTTGTGGACTAATGCCAGTACAGAATGCCACAGCCACGTCTTAGTAGGTGGAGCATATATCATCAACACTCTTTTTTCCCAACTACATTGGCTGCTGGTAGACTTCTGGACTGAATTCAAGATGTTGATTGCCCATGTAGACAAGCAGATATTCATGGGATACTAATACCATGAAAAGATGAACAACACACGCATGCATGTATCAGAGCTGGTAAATCAGAGAGCAGGTGGCACAGTGTTAAAAGTCAGTTCCTTCCCTCCTGAATTCGAGAGCACAACTCTTAAGTCTAGAAGGAAGTGGCTACCTGACAGCGTTTGGAGTCCTGTCTTATAATAACGAAGGCTGCTTCCTAGAGTCTCTGTAAGAGGCTTTTTGTTCCCATAACAATGGGGCATGTAGGTTCAAGCCTGGAATGAAAAGGAGTAGAACTCATGCTTAGTCTTGTATAACAGTGTACTTAGTGTTTTGATTTAAAAGGTGGAGCTCTGTGCTTGTTCTTTCCAGGTAGTGAGAGCGAACCTGAATGTAAGGAGAGGCCACCCTGACTTGTCAATCAGTGCTGCAGTCAGACAGGTAGGACAGATAGTCTTTTTTATTTTATGACGGTGGAATATCTGCTACAAAGGCCTTGACTTCTTGCCCTTAGGGTTCCCTTCTGGGGTACACCCATGCTCAGTTAGTAATTTCCAGACATGGCTTCAAGGTACAAAGCAAATTTATTGGTTCAAGGAGTGTCGCAGAAGGCATAACTGTCTCACTCAGAAACACAGAAAAATAAAGCAATTATTTCTACTTCTAACTAAAAATCTGTTTAAGAATTTTTTTAAGCCTCACTGCCTTCAGATATCTTCAGGCAGCATTCTCCAATAATCTCACTCATCCAGCAAAACAGAATCTCTTCATGCTTGATAAGGATAGCACCATTGTGGCGTCCTCTTATTTGGGGAGGACTGGTTTTCACTTTAAACTTATACTTTGCGTTCACAAACCGGGTAGTTTCTGCTGCCACCAGGAATTTAAACAAATTCCAAATCTTCTTTCATTAGCTGCTGGTAAAGTGACCTAGAGTCTGGGCTATTCAGAGGTCTCTGTGGCCCCGAGGAAGGATTGAACTGAATTCTGGGTTAAACTTTAAACAAAATATGATTCATTGATTTAGGAACAAAAAAGGAGTTGCTGGTTAACTGTAACTGTTATGGGAAAGAGAAACTGGAAAAACAAACTGGCAGGATAACACACACAGTCTTTTGATCACAAGATCCCTCTCTGTCTAGAATCTCTCTTTCAATAGGCAGCCACACTGGCTAAGCTCTTTGTATTTTTTTCTTTTATAATGTTGGAGTCTCTCAGACCCTTCTCATAACTCTTCCACATTTAAACTTTCAAAGGCATATATTCTGAACACTTTAGGTTTCCACACAGCACTCTGTCATCACTCACTGACAGATTCACTAATTGACTGACTCTGATTAACTGCATAACTGTCACTGACTCTGACTCAAACTCAAAAACTCCAACTGAACTCCTTCAAGACACACACAGAGATTCATTCCAAACAACTCCTCCCATACTCTTGTCATCCCCCAATCACAGCACACTTGTCTCCCTCAATCATTCTACTCTGCTATCACTGCACTCCAACCAAACATTTAAAGACCAACACACTCTAAAACAAGGAATCATTACAACCATGCTGAAGTAGTCTTCAAGAATCTAAATAGTAAAGCAGTGCATGGCCAAAACCTCCCTTTTCTAATACTCACTAGCCATTCTAAAATTGATAAATTAATTGGCATCTGATGTGAAGGAGGATTGGGGAGATGAATTAGAAGCTCTACAGATAGGGTTGCCAACCCCCCCCCCGGTTCGGCAGTGGTCCCTTGCTTTTGGGGGGCTTCTACCCACCAGCGGCCACCTGGCCGCTGGGGGAAGCCCTGCCCCCAAGCCTCAACACCTGCCGCCACCCCTTTCTCCCTTCTCTCTTTAGAGAGAGGAGGGAGAGAGGTGGCTGCGGGCCAGATGATCGGGCGCACGGAAACACCAGCTAACTGCAGGGAGCCGGTGTTTCCGTGCACCTGACCTTTGCGGAGAGACATGCTGGGAAATGCCGGCTCCCTGCAGTTAAAGGGGCCCCTTTAACTGCAGGGAGCTGGCGCTCCTGTTGGGCGGGGGGGGACATCCCCAGCATGACGTCATCACGTTGTGGACGCCCCGCCCTCTCAAGGAACACCCCCCAAAGTCCCCCGCTTGGGGGGGAAGATAGGACTTGGCAACCCTTTCTACAGAGGAATCTCACCTCTACAGAGCAATCTCGCAGGTCAAACTTCTCAAGGAGGAGAAACTGCTTTGAAGTTTTCACCAATCAGCAAGGCAGAAGCTGTAATCAAGCCTGAATCCTGACAACACTTGAGGTTTTACAGAGAATCCCACCAAAACCTTACTAAGGACTCAGGCCCAAATTCCCAACTTCCTTAGTCTGAACTAGCCTAGCTGCTCTTCAAGGGAGGTGGCTGACTTGGGGAGCCGCTATTTGTAAGCCAGTGCCAAGGAGGAAACACCTTATCATACAATATCTCTTTTGTCTAGGGTTGCCAGCTGACTTGCTTCCTGAAACAGACCTGTCAAAATAAACCTTTTAGCTTGGTACACTTAGTTGCCTCACATTGCAACAGCTAGGTTTTAGTCTGTCTGTTTATTTCCATGTCAGATTCTATGTCAGATTCTAAATCTGACTGAAGATGATTCTCTTTCCTTCTTGATTTCTATGCTCTTGAGTTGTCTCTTGCAGCAGCTTATCATACATTCCAGAACATTCTGATCACATGTTACACCCGCTCTGCTGGGAAGATGATTGCAGAGCATGGCCAATCCCACCAGTGTGGTAGTTGCGGGGAGTCTCTGTCCCATTTGTGTCAAAAACCCCCCCCCCCAATTCTCCCTGACACAAGTTGTTTATTAAGTGGAGAATGTTCTCATTATACTTGCTCTGCTGATAAGGTCAATGCAGGGCATGGGGCGACCAACCCGTTCTGGGGCATTTGGATGTTAATGTGGGCCAGGGCTTGGAGCAGTATCACCATTTCAATTTTGGTCCGCTGTTTCCCGTTGAGTGTTCAAGGTCTTTGATGGCCAGCAGCTGCCTCTGCTGGGTGGGGGTGGGCAGGCCCCTTATGGAACCTGAACGACATCTTAAAACTGTTTTAAGAACACCAACCTCGAACCTTATGTACCTACCTACCCACATCCCTCAAGGTGAAGATTAGAACCTGAACTTTTACTGAGGGGTAGACTCTGACCAGAGAAAAGTTGTGCTTGGACCTAGTTGAGACTGGGTTTCTCCAGCAATCACTCAAGGCTATCCCCGTTCACTTGCACCGTCAGCAAGGTGACTGCAGTGTGTGGCAAAGTTCCCAATGGAACTATTAGGTAGGTCTTCATTTTCATACTATGTGAGTTGCGACAGCATTTCTTCCCTGGCTTCAGACTCAGAGTCGTTCAGAGCCTTCCCTTTTCACTCGCCCCACTGGCAAGAAGATGGCAGGCCTGGCCAGGCAGTGCAAGACCATGCCAACCCTTCCTGGAATAGCATGTTGGCAGGCAGAAGCAGGTTTGAACCACCCATCCTGAATGATCTCTCTCTCTCTCTCTCTCTCTCTCTCTCTCTCTCTCAGGGCTTTGGGTGTTTGTTGAACTGAGCTCTGAGCCAGACTCTCACTCCCCCCACCTTCAAGATTACTGCTGCTGCTTTGCATTGTCAAGGCTTTTCCGAGAGCCTTCTTCTGGAGTTCTGGGTGGTCTTTCCATTTCTCTCTATTCTCTTGGGGCCCCAAGCCACCACCTGTCCTCCACATTTTCCTTCCAATTTCAACACGGCCTGAGTCTTACTGTCGTTGCCCCGAGCAACCTCCAATGTAGTGTCTGATTCCTGGGCCCTAGCGGGGAGAGTTGTGCCTGCCCTGCAATCACATTGCTGTCAGGTGGGGGGGGCAGGGAAACAGCCACCTGCAAGAGGTGTGGATGGCTTCTGGTGTGTGTGTGTGGGGGGTTGGCCCTGCCCTACCATCACCTTGCTGTCTGGTAGGTGGGTAGTGTGCCCTGGGAAACAGCCACCCGCACTGCCTGTGCGTGGCGCCTGGGCAGGGCAGGGGGGGCGGTTGACCCTGCCCTGCAATCACCTTGCTGTTGGGTGGGTGGTGCTAGGCCTAGGGAAACAGCCACCCACAAGTGTTGCAGGTGGCTCCTGGGGGGGGGATTGGTCCTGCCCTGTGGTCATGTGGTCAGTGGAGTGAGGGTGGATCTGGCTGGGGACACAGCCACCTGCAACAGTGCCGGTGACTCCTGCCTGCATCCAGAGGGGAGAAGGGTGGTGTCCATTCCTGGGAGTATCCCGGGGAAGTCTGCTGCAAGTTTGAAGCCTCCAACTTGCATAGGGTCCATTCTATACACTTTAGGACCTGTGTTTGATGTCTCCCCCAAAAGCTTCTTTCTAGGGGTGCCTTCTGGGGGGGGGGTGTAACATGGATCCCCCAAGTTCAATCCACACATAACTTGGAGGGCATCCAAGGAAGCTCTACTGATAGTTTGATGCTTCTAGCTTGCACAGGGTCCCAATCTATACACTACAGAACCTGCGCCTGATGTCTCCCTGAAAACCACTTTTTTGGGGGTACCTTCTTTGAGGGGCCATAAATTGGGCCTCCCAAGACCAATCTGCACATCACTTGGAGGGCATGTAGGGGTTCATCCAGGGGAGGAGATCTACTGCAAGTTTGATGCCTTTAGCTCGCACAGGGTCTGTTCTATATACTCCAGAACCTGTGCCTGACTTCTCCCCCAAAAACACTTTCTGGGGGGTGCCTTCTTTGAGGGGCTGTAACTCAGATCCCCCCAAGTCCAATCTTCACCAAGATTGGTGGGTATGTAGAGGAGAGTCTGCTGGAGATCCCCTGTGAGTTTGGAGTCTCTAGCATCCCGGGGGCCGTTCTGCTGTGTCCTAAACTTCCTGGACCGGTTTGGTCCATGTGAGGCTGGTTCAGTTCAGGGTTTGGTCTGTGGGCTGCCATGGACTCTGAAATGAACTGTGTTTTTTCAGTCCTTGCCCATCCTTACTAATTACAGGCCATAAGGAAAATAATTTATCTATTATTAGACCAAGTTTTGTTTCTGTTAATTCCCAGTCTACTTACTGTCTACTGAATCCGTATAAGCTAATGATTTCTGAAAATTAACTGCTTGGCAAAATGGTCAACTAGAATCCATAACTATCATTAATTGCATCTCTTCTTTTATTTCTGTATGCAGACAATGGCATCTAAAAATCCCACTGCCTCCACCACTGATGAGATGCTGTTGTCACCGAAACACCCAAGAGGTATGGCATAATGAAAATGCTCTAGAAAGTTTTTCTTCTGCAATGTACGTGTCCTGTATATTAAAATGTTTCTAGATCACCTAGCAGGTGGTGGGCCTGGCTGGGATTGTATTGGACTGGTTTTGGTCCTTCCTGGGGAGCAGGTCCTGGAGCATGGTGCTGATGGGGACTTCTGTTCTGCCCCTGGGCCACTGGCCTGTGATGTGTTCTACATAGTTCCACCTTGCCTTGTTAAATATCTGCAGATTTAGAATAATCAATCTCTTTGTCTTCCAACATAGTTTTCTTCCTTTTAGAAATCCTGTTTGATCTGATTTTATTTATTTATTTACTGTATTTGTATCTCACCTGTCTCCCCAAAGTGGCGACCCAAAGTGACTTACAGCAGTCTCCTTTTTTCTGTTTTATCTTCACAACAACCCGGTGAGGTAGGTTAGGCTGAGAGTGTGTGATTGGCTCAAGGTCATCCAGCAAGCTGTCATGGAAGAGTAGGGATCCAAACCTGGGCTCCCCAAATCCTAGTCCAGCACTTTATCTACTACACCACACTGCCTAGAAAGCCAAAATGGCTATAAAGGTCTGGTAGTTCTATTTAAATCTTTTCCTTCTTTGAGGTTCAGAACTCTGTTTGCCTCTGCCCATGAACTCTTGCAGATCTGTCTTTCTGTAACGTCGTATGCCAATTTACTGCTCACCCTCTACCTAGATGTATGGACTGGTAACTTCCATTTCATTGTATCTGAAGAAGGGTGTGTGCACACAAAAGCTTATATCTTGAAAACAACTTTCTTGGTCTTAAAGCTGCCACTGGACTCAAACTTTGTTCTTTTTAGAATCCAGTGAGTCTTCAGCAGAGTATAGAACTTCAAGGAAAACTTTAAATTGTGTGGCAGTCTGCTGTGCTTCATATATTGGCTTTCCCAGTTTGTCGTTAACTGTGTTGATTTTACCTGATCCCATTTTTTTCCCAAGGGAGGAGATGTGCTAAGCATTTCCCTGGTTTGTTGACAGACTCAAATATGCTGCAGGGCATACAATAGAGATTTAGCAGCTTTCCAGGCATCCAATAAGTTTGTCTCTTGCCATATCTAAGACCTGTTTGTTCTCCTCAGTGGGGCTTAATTTATGAATCCCTTCTCTTTTCTCTATTTTAACTCCTTCCTTGGTTTCCTTTTTCGATTATTCATACAATTATGTATAGAAATAATACGATCCCCGAGACAGGCGTTGAAAGATGACTATGCTATAGGAAAGAGAATATCCTGTCTCATGTTTACACTAAAAAGGAAGTATATTTCTGTTCTTGGACACGTGACTACATTTTCATCCTTCAGCAAAAAGCCATTCAGTTGCCAGGTTTTCTCTTTCCTAAAACCTGCATGGTAAAAATTGAGTTTTAATGGGGCTTGGTCCACATAGATCAGGGGTACTAACTGTTTTGAGCTGGAGGGCACCTTTGGAATTCTGACAGAGAGTGGTGGGGCACCCTCACAAAATGGCTGCTACAGAAGGTGGAGCCACCCACAAAATGGTGGTTGTGGAAGATGGAGTCACACACACACAGAGGAAGCCCACGTGCAGGGGAAAAGAGAGGCAATGTTACACACAAACACACACACATGCTGGGAAAGAGGAATGAGTGGGAATGTTAAACCAACACTGGGTGTCAGATGTCAACAAAATGATGTTATTTAAATCCAGACCCTTAGCTACAGTGGGGCATCTCGGGGTTGGGCCCCCCAACTTACTGGCAAAGCCCCATGACCCCTGAGCAGTGGTGGGTGCAGGGAAGGTGCCAGGTAATCCTGTGCGTGAAAGGGCCGGCTACAGTGGCTGTGTAGAGCCAGACAGTACTTCTCTATTTCCCCCAGAAAATACTTGTTGCTGGTGGGCTGCGCTGCGCTGTCTGGTGCAAAGGGCTGGCTACAATGTTGTGAGGGGCTGCTGTGAGGCAGTGGCGGCTTGGTAGAGGCTCAGGTGGCAGAAGCTGTAGAACAGCTTGGGGCAGGAGTAGGGTTACGAGAGGACGCAGAAGGTGTCCAGCGGGCGGATGGGGGAGGTGAAGGGCGAGGCTATGGTGAACACAACTGGAGCCGCCTTTCGGGCTGTGCCAGGTATCACCGGCACAGCCGCCCCATGCATAGCCACCCCTTCCTTTCCCTGTTCCCTTTCCCCAGTTGTTGACATACTGCCAGGTGTGAGCAGCGCGCTCACCTTTGCCCTTTGCAGGCTGACCCAGGAAGAGTGCACACCTGTGAGCTGTGTTGTGGGGCCCTCTCGACTGACTGAAACCATCAGCTCCTCTGTGTACCTCAGAATTTCCTCCTGAGTCCCTGGGATCCTATGCAGAGTTTCTGCACCCCACTTTCTTGCATGTCTCTCTCCCCCACAGCCTCCCAGGAACCTGGCAGGGGCAGAAAGGCAAGGTAATTAAATTAAATTACATGTAATTTGATTAGCCAGTCTCCCCTAAGAAGTTTAAATGACCCCCGACTTAAAAAATCCTGGCTATGGGCCTGTTTAAATCTGCACAGCCAATCAGATCTCAAGTGGACAGATAAAGTCCCACTGGGCAAGAGCCCCACCTGGCCCCACCAACTCTCTAAAACACTTGGCACGGCCCTGACCTGGATAGCCCAGGCAAGCCCGATCTTGTCAGATCTTGGAAGCTAAGCAGGGTCAACTCTGGCAAGTACTTGGATGGGAGACCTCCTTGGAATACCAGAGGTAGGAGACAGGGGCAGGCTTTATTCAGCCGCCTCTCTGAATATCCTCCAGGTTCCCAGTAGGGGTCAGTCACCAAAGGCCGCCGTGACTTCCAGGTGCGCATGCACACTCACACACACAACCTCCCAAACAAACAAACAAAAACACTTGGCACACACCAGGAAGGCTGTCAGTGGATGGCCATGCTTCCCCTGGGCATCAGTTTGGGAACCCCAGCATAGATATAAATTACAGCTTCTTTCCTAATGAATAATGAAGCCTATTCGGAAGCCACAGCTCTTCATTCGCAAGACCTGAGCAAGGCTTTTAGTGATAGGATGTTTTGGAGGTCATTAATTTAGAGGGCTGCAATAAGTTGGAAGCGATTTGGTGGCACTTAATACACACACATCCTGGAATAATTTGAATGGCTATTATGCGAATAAAACTTGTAGTCTTTAGTCTTAGGTTCAACTATCTGAAACCATCTACTGTATTGCATTACCCAAGACATTCTGTGATCTTTGGTATTCTTTGGAATTACTTAAGAACATAAGAACATAAGAGACGCCAATGTTGGATCAGGCCAAAGGCCCATCCAGTCCAACACTCTGTGTCACACAGTGGCCAGAAATACCAGTGCCATCAGGAGGTCCAGCAGTGGGGCCAGGACATTAGAAGCCCTCCCACTGTTGACCCCCCCCCAAGCACCAAGAAGACAGAGCATCACTTGCCCCAGAGCCCCTAGCTATACCTTGTGGCTAATAGCCACTGATGGACCTCTGCTCCATATGCTCCATATACTTTATGTGTAGATCTGCTGTTGAATGTGTCCAGTACTGAGTCAAGAACTGCATTTAAGCTATCTACCACTATGAGTTCACCTTTGATCTATCCCTCCGCTTCTTCAGTCAAATGATGTTTCTCGTTAGGGGCATAAATGCAACCCAATGTAAAATGCCAACCCATAATTTTCCCTTTCGAAAATATACACTTGCCATCTTTGTCTTTGTTCATTGTTGCTGAAATCTTGCTAACCAGAACACTTTTTATAAACTTGATAAGGTGCTGAGGGAGAAAACTCATTTGAAACTCCTTGTAAGCGACAGAAAAAGAGTGACAAATACAAGGCCTTTGATCCAGAGGAAAAAGAGAAGCTGAAGAAATGTAAGTCTGAAGGAAATGGTGATAAAAGCCCACTCTGGAGTGATGGTGGTCAAGGGGGAGGGGCCAGGACTGCATCTGGCCAGGGTGGGATGAGTGGAACAGAGCCCTTGTCCTTCCAGAGGGCCAGGATGTGAGGGTGCATCCTTGATTAGAGTTCAGCTAGATCAGACAAAAGGAAGCAGAGTTATTAATGTTCTTAATTTTATTAAAAGCAGCTGTGGTGCTGGGGTGGGCAGGCAACCTGCACAGAAAAAGAGAAAGAAATCTCTGCCCACAATGCTGATACTTCAGTGCCAATCACTCCTGCCCAGAGGTTCTTTTTAATATAAATAAAGACATTGGGAGGCCTGATCATGGATCCATTGTATCTTTTCTAATTGTGCCCACTGTCCTTCTGTGAACCCAGCACAGAAAAACACCCTGTACTCTGGACTCTCTATCACTCTATAAAGATACCTACTCTTTTTTCCCCTTGGTTTCTGAATGTATGAAGCTGCCTTATACTGCAGGCCAAACTGTACTAGACTTTTTAAATCAGTCTCTGTTAATCCAAATGGCCTACAATTTAGCCCTTGATGTGTGGAGCACCCCCCTCCCTTGAATGTCAAGTACTCACATGTGTGTATCACTGGGCAAAATTATATTAGGGATCACTTCCTGGTGTAGGCTGGGATCCTGAATTTGAGTAGCGCTTCCTTGTGGGAATGGGACGATTCCCAGAAATGAAAGGTGGAAGATTGAATCAAAATCCAAATCTTTACCTAGAAAAATAGGAAAGCAGAAGAGAATTGTATGCTCATGCAAGCACACACACATAGTAGATCCTAACACCCTCACAACACCTAACTCCTAAGCACCAGAATAAGGGGGAGGCAAATAAAAATATACAAGCCTGTCCTGAAGTCCTGGAAGCACAGCAACACTGTGCATTGTGTGATCTTAAGTGGGAAAAAGAATGGGAAGAAAAGCAGGACAGAGACTGAGGCTGGCTTTAAGCCTCTGAGGGTCCTGTGAGCTCCTGGGGTAGAAGGGGGATGGTCTGAAAAACTATTCCAAAAGTTTGGAGAACTTTGGAGATATATTTACACAGAAAAAAAATGCTAAAAGTGAGACATCAGAGGTATTCTAAGTGCATGGCCTTCTTGCTTCGGACCATATATACTAACAGCCGCCATCTGTATTTATTAATATATATGTGAATTACTGGTTTTGTGAATTTTGACAATTTTAATGTATTTATTGTTTTATCTGTTTTATTGTGTACGTTGCCTTGAGCCAGTTTGCCTTGAGCCAGGCGGGATACAAATCTAAAGTAATACATAAATAAATAAATCTGTACACAAAGCAGAAACTCTGCCACTGAGCCACAGTCTCGCTCCAGAAACTGGGTCTGGGAGATCTGCATATGCATCTGTTTATAACTTTAAAATTTATTGTTTCTCTGGCAAAGAGGGCAGCTGAGGTGATGGACAATCAATAACAATCAAGTCCCATACAACTAAAAGTAGTGCAGGGTGCGCTTAACACCCTGTGACATGATAGAATGTGTAGCTGCTGGTATGGAGAGCGAAGAACCACTTGCCACCACTTGCTAGCGTCCTCCTCACAGTACCAAGGCTCTTTGTAGTTTTGCTGCTGCTGTTGTTGCCATCAAGTCCCAAGTGACTTATGGCGACCCCTCATGGGGTTTTCAAGGCAAGAGATGTTCAGAGGTGGTTTGCCATTGCCTGCCTGGTATTCCAATTTAAACCCTGGTATTCCAATTTAAATTTTGTAATAAGGGAGCTTATATGCTGTATGCAGGTTTATGTAAATTAGATCACTTCATGATCATTTTCTTCCTAGCTTTTCAAACAATTTGAAGCACAGACTGGAAGCTAATGGAGAGGGGGAATATGGCTATGGACTACAAACAAGGGATTGGTTGGGACCACTAAACACTAGCTGTGGAAGAGAGGCATGGAGCTGGCTGAGCTCCTTTACCTGGCCACTGGCCATTCTGAACATACCATTTTTCCTGAGATTTCAGCCGTTGCCTCTCAACACTTGCCTCTCACACAGAATCAAAAATGTAGATCCATTACATTGAATTCTGCACCAGGTACCAAATTCCGTGACTGCACAAAAAAATTGCAGATGACTGCAGTCCCTATTGGAATCAACTGCATTATTTAATGAAATTGCCTGCTATACCAAATAGTTGTCAAGTCTGACCATCATTTTGTCCCAGAATAATTCAATTACAAGTTCTTTCTGTCACTCTGCTCTTCAGATGAAACTTGCGAATCACAGACAAGGAAGGTTCTCAACAAAACGTATGACAAATTGTTTGACGATTTATCTCGAGATGACGCGCAAAAAGAAATTATCTATCTCAAGTGAGTCCTCTTTCTGATTTCTGTTCAGATTTCAGATATATATATATATTTTTCTAGCCCAGAGTCCTGCCTTATCCCTGACTGCACCAAAGGTCAAGAGTTTCGATATTATGGGGGGAAAGCCCTTTAATTTAAGAGGTCTAAGCTACTTATGAATTAACCGATGTTTCAAAAAACATTGAAATTTTAATTGTAGCTTAACTTCTGTGCCATATGAAAAATAAGTCTACAGGCTCACATATTTTTCTTGATTACTAATTAGGCTATCTATATACCCAAGTTTTGCCATGGTCCTTTAGCTTAACACTGGGCTTATGAGAGCAGAAATTCAACAGGTGCAGCTTTCTCAAATGTTTTACAATCTGCATGGTCATTTAATGGATATTCCCTTGCAAGTTCATAAAATGCTTAGTGTTCACCTATGACAACAATTGTAGTGCATGTTCAGGCAGAAATTCATCAGGGTACATTTGTACAGAATGAAGGGGTACATGTCTTTATGTCTTCACAAGTGAAGAAGAAGAAGAAGAGAAGAGGAGATTGGATTTATACCCCGCCCTTCACTTGGAGTCTCAGAGCGGCTCACAAACTCCTTTCCCTTCCCCTCCCCACAACAGACACCCTGTGAGGTAGGTGGGCCTGAGAGAGCTCTTGACAGAAACTGCTCTTTTTCAAGGACAGCTGTGCCAAAGCTTGTGACTGACCCAAGGTCACATCAGCAGGTGCAAGTGGAGGAGTGGGGAATCAAACCCGATTCTCCCAGATTAGAGTCCACGCACTTAACCACTACTCCAAACTGGCTCTGCACACTAAACTTGTATATGGGACCTTTGAGCTAAGTATAATGCAAGTATGTTTGGAAACTATCTTAGAGCGTAAGTTAAGTAGACCCTAGCGGATGAGATCAGTGGTCCATCAAGTCCACAACTAGTTCCCTTGAAGGGCTGAACAAGCAGGCATAGAAGTTGAGGCCATCAAACAGGCATAGAGGCTGAGGTCCTCCACTGATGCTGCCTCTCAGCCAGTGTTCCCTCTAAGCTGAGTTAGTGTGAGCTAGCTCACAGGTTTTTAGCCTCTGGCTCACACATTTTTGTCTTAGCTCAGGAAAGATGGCTCCAGAGCAAACTAATTTATGCAGTAGCCAAATTGCTCGCTCATAACTTTAATGCCACTAGCTCACAAAGTAGAATTGTTGCTCACAAGACTCTACAGCTTAGAGGGAACACAGCTCTCAGCACTGATATTCAGAGGCTTGCTGCCTCTTTATATGTCACCATGGCTTGTAGCCATTGATGCTTCTGTCCTCCATGAATCTGTCTAAAGACATCAGTGCTCAAGACCATCACTACAACCACAGACCGAGAATTTTACAATTTAACCACTCACTGAATAAAGGTATATTTCCTTATGTCTATCCAGAATCTGTTTCCCAACAAATTCATTGGGTGCCCCTTAGTTCTAGCACTGAAGAGGTGTCTGTTGACAATGTTCTGGCAGCTCCAGAGGCCACCTTGCTAGAGCCTGCAAGGCAGACCTCATCAGCCGCTGAAATAGCCACCAGGCCTCTGTTGGGCAGGATGCAGTCTTAGTCCAATAGACTCCTAGGGTCTGCTCCCACTCTGCAGGATCGGAGGTGGCAGAAGACCAGGACTGAGGTGGCCCAAAGGAGGTGAAGTGCTAGATTGGCTGTGTGCAATGCTATCCTAGAGCCATGCAGTGAAAGTGATACTTTTTGCAGGATCCTGGCCGAAATACAATTCAGCTACAGGAGCTGGGCACCTGCCCGTAGTGCAGCAGAGCCTGATTACCTCCCAGCCTATTTAAACAGTATGTCTCCATCCATCAAATGTTTCTATCCTCCCAATGTTCCAGACTTTCCCCCCTAACAATGGGGCAAGATTCTCCATCCAGATACCGTTAATCTTGTAGCCTGGAGGATTTGTTCAGTCAGGTAGCCCCACCAGAAGAATCTTATGAAAGCAAGTGGAAGTGTTTCACTATCTTTCTTTCAGTTTGGTGTAGTGGTTAAGTGCGCAGACTCATCTGGGAGAACCGGGTTTGATTCCCCAATCCTCCACTTGCACCTGGCTGGATGACCTTGGGCAAGCCATAGTTCTGATAAGAGCTGTTTTTGAAAAAGAGCCGTTTCTGTCAGAGTTCTCTCAGCCCCACCTACCTCACAGGGTGTCTGTTGTGGGGAGGGGAAGGGAAAGGAGTTTGTAAGCCGCTCTGAGACACCTTTGGGTAGTGAAGGGCGGGGTATAAATCCAATCTCTTCTCTTCTTCTTCTTCTTCTTTCACAATGGGGACTCAATCATTCCACATGTGCCCTGTCATTTATATTAGAATACTTACTCCATTGTCATTTAAGACTTTTTTCCTCACAGCAATCTGCTCTACTAGAAGGGCATCAGATATTGTAGCCCTTAGGGTAGATTCTCCTTTTCCATGATTTCAGAAGGATAAGGTAACACTGTGTACTGATCCTACCTTTCTACCAACGGTGGCCTCAGAGTTCTACCTGAACCAAGATCTAGTCTTCCATTGCCAAAATGAAGAGAGATCATTCTGTACCTTGAATGTTAGAAAAGCTCTAGCCTTCCATATGAATCATACATCTTATTTCTGGAAACATTAGAAGCTTTCGTGTTCTATTCAGGCAAAAAGAAAGGTGAACCCCTTTCTGCCCTACATATTAACCACATGTAATGATTGTATTCTGCAGCTAGGTAGTTTAGAAGCCTTCATCTTCCAATATTAAATAAAATTCTACCAGGTCAATGGTGTTGGAAGAGAAAGGCACTGTCCATTGCCTCAGTCTCCAGGAGAAGTTACAAGCAAGTCAGTGAGATAGACAGGCAAACTGTGGGTTTCCTTCCTGTTTACTCTCCTGCCTCTGTCACTTTGATGTGTAGACTGAAAACTCTTAGGGAAATTGCCTTCCTTCCGTTCTGCCCTCTCACACCACTTCTTCTCGTGCACATGCATGATAGGAGCAGGATGCCCCTCAGCATCCACATCCATCCAAGGTAGCTAGATTAGACTGTATCCCTGTTTCTAAGCTTTACTATCTAGATAATGTAGTTCCTAAATAAAATGACTATTATTAGTCTTGAAACTGACAAGTCACTGGCTGATTTCGCACTAGAGCTGCCTCGATGTTGCGCTGCCGTTCGCCCGATACTGTTGGTCAATTTCACACCCAAAGCCGTGGGGCTGCATTTGACCCGCGGCTTCGCCTGATTTCCTCCGCAGTTTCGTGATCCTCAAAAAAAAGGATCGCGAAACTGCGGGGGAAATCGGGCGAATCCGCGAGTCAAAATGCAGCCCCACGGCTTTGGGTGTGAAATTGACAAACAGTATCGGGGCAAACGGAGGCGTAACATTGAGGCAGCTCTAGTGCGAAATCAGCCACTCTGTCTAACTTTGTAACTCTGCCAGCACACTGAGAACAAAGGAGCACTCTGCTAAATTGAGATGGGATACTGGATTAACTATACCAGTTACTCCTAACAAATGGCTACCTCTTCAGACTTTGAGAGAGGGATACCATTATCTGATCTGTGTAATGCAGCAATTTGCTCTCCACTTTACATTAAGCACTTTCCCCTGCATATCAGGACACATCAGGACTCTTCCTTGGAACAAGCGGTCATCCACCTCCAGGTAGGTCAGTTGCCTAGCCTTCACCCATCAGTGTGATGCACAGACACCACAAAATAAAATAAAAACAGGTTACTTAACCTGTGTAACTGCTGTTCTTTGAATGTTCATCTGTGCATTCAGATGCTTTCCCTGCAGCAGCTGCTCCACTTTGCTGTGGTGCACTTTCTTAAGTAGGAAGGAACTGAGTGGAAAAAGCACATCTCCTCCTGCTGCAGCATATGTGGTCTGTTCCTTGGAGGGAGGGGATTTTCATGCCTATTTTGTAGGTTTAGAAGTTTCCAAAATAGAGCTCTGCACATGTGCAAAGCCCATCAGTGTGAATGCACAGATGTTCACTCAAAGAACAACAGTTACAGGTAAACAACCTGTTTTTCTCTTATTTCATAGATGAAGTTTCTGAAGTTTGGGGGTATTTAGAAGAAATTAAGCTAGACAATTTCATATTACAGCTATTGGTGACTGCATAAAATCACTTTATCTTCCACAGGAGACGTTTGGCCACCTTGAAGAAAAAGACTTCCTTGGACCCCATACGCATTGGGTTTCTTGGACGAACAGGGGCAGGGAAGACCTCACTGCTCAATGCCATTCTAGGGAAGAACCTGTTCCTGCCAGTGTCTGGGAGCAGTGTTTGCACTTCATGTGTGGTAAAAGTAAGCACAAACAGGACTGATCAGTATGAAGCCACGATTCACCTTCTCACAGATGATGTGAGTATGAGCCTGCAAGGCAGACCTCATCAGCTGGGGGGGGGCAACAGTGGGAGGGCTTCTAGTGTCCTGGCCCCACTGCTGGACCTTCTAATGGCACCTGGTATTTTTGGCCACTGTGTGACAGAGTGTTGGACTAGATGGGCCTTTGGCCTGATCCAACATTGTCTTTCCTTATGTTCTTATGTACTCTCTATGAAGTAAAGGAACTTGCATAATTTAGGTAATTGCATAGTCATGTTGCAAGAGAGCTCAGGCTTCAGTACAAATTTTGGAAAGTGATCCAGACCTGACACATGAAATGCATTTCTCAGAAGAAATCCTCTTCCCTGTGGCTCATACTGTGTCATAGATCTGTGTTATACACTTCTTGCTTTCTTGAGCAGTGAGAAACATAGACATTGTGGGTATTTCAGAAACTTCGTGGAATGAGGAAGATCAGTGGGACATGGTGATTCCTGGTTATAAATTGTATCGGAAGGATGGAGGGGGAAGGGTTGGAGGAGGGGTGGCTCTGTATGTCAGAGAGGGTTTACAGTCCAGTAAGACTGAGAACATAAGAGAATCAGATTCGCTTCTGGAAATGCTGTGGGTTGAAATAGTGGGCCCAAAAGGAAGCTTAACACTGGGAGTTTGTTATCGCCTACCAGATCAAAAGATAGAGGACGATTATAAAATGATGAATGAATTAAAGATAGCGGCTAGACAAAATAACTGTGTTGTAATAGGTGATTTTAACTACCCACACATTGATCGGGTCAATTTGTGTTCAAGACAGGAAAAAGAGATTGAGTTTCTAGACACTCAAAATGACTGTGCTATGGAGCAGATGGTCATACAACCTACCAGGGGAGAGGCGATCCTAGATTTGGTCCTTAGTAATGCCCAAGAACCTGGTGAGAGATGTAAAAGTGATTGCACCACTTGGGAATAGTGACCATAATGTTACTGAGTTCAACATTTGTATAAATAGGGAGTTGCCCAAAAAGACCAACACAACCACTGATAACTTTAAAAGGGATAACTTCTCTGAAATGGGGGGACGTGTGAAGAGGAAACTGAAAGGAAAAGTAGAAAGGGTCAAAACCATTGGGGAAGCTTGGAGACTATTTAAAACTACAATCCTAGAAACTCAGATTAAATATATACTGAAGGTTAGGAAGGGCACAAATAGGTATAGAAAAAGACATGCATGGTTAACAAACAAAGTAATGGAAGCTGTGAAAGGTAAAGAGGATTCCTTTGGTGGAAAGCTAGTCTCAGTGAGGTTGATAAAAGGGAACACAGGCTGTGGCAAATAAAATGTAAGTTTGTGATCAGGCAGGCAAAAAGGGAATATGAGGAGCATATTGCAATACCAACAATAAAATTTTCTTCAAATGCATTAGAAGCAGGAAACCAGCCAGGGAGACAGTGGGGCCCTTGGATGACCAAGGGGTAAAATTACTGAAGGATGATAGGAAAATGGCTGAGAAGCTGAATGCATTTTTTGCCTCTGTTTTCACTGTGGAAGATGAGAAGTGCTTGCCCACTCCAGAACTGCTGATTTCAGGAGGGGTGTTGAAAGACCTCAGTGAGATTGAGGTGATTAGAGAGGAGGATCTATAGCTGATAGACAACTTAAAAACTAATAAATCATCAGGCCCGGATGGCATACATCCTAGAGTTCTGAAGGAACTCAGATGTGAACTTCTGGATCTCCTGATAAAATATATATAATCTTTCATTAAAATCTGCCTCCATTCCTGAGGACTGGAAGGTAGCTACTGTCACCCCCCATCTTTAAAAAGAGTTCTAGAAGAGATCTGGGAAATTACAGGCCGGTCAGTCTGACATCGATACAGGGTAAGTTGGTGGAAACCGTTATTAAGGAGAGAATGAACTAATCACTGGCAACAATACACTGGTAACTTACATGTGGCAATCTCGCCCAGTTGTATAGTTCAGTTGTGTTATTTAAGCTAAATACCCCAATAGTGTTATCTTTAGTCTGAATTGTGTTCTTCCCACATGGCTAGTCTGGAGAAAACCAACCCAAAGACAGGAGATTTCACAGTGAAAATGGAATGAGGTCCTAACCTGTTGAGGATGTTATGGGGAAGGATCAGCTGGCTGTGAGGCAGAGGAGGCCGCCCAGGGAGAAAGGAGAAATGAAGAGGGAGGAGTGGATGGGAAGACGTGGAGGGTGGGTTCCAGGAAGCGAAACAGAATTGGAGAAGGAAAATAAATGCTGTACTTGTTCGACAGCATCCAGTGGTTGCGGAGCAAAACCAGCTAAAAAAAAGAAGGGTTCGAACACTTCTTATGCACCTGGATTTTACCTCAGGTGCCAATGGAGGAAGTCTGCTACATATTTTGATGCCGTTCTAGGAGCTGCAATGGCATTGGGGCTAAACCTTGGGATCTGGATGCCCATTCCCCCCCCCCCCAAACACTGACGTTGCAGACAATGTGCCTGAGACATCCAGAAGTGACATTGGCATGTCGGTGATGTCAGGGGTGGTGCTCTGGTTTTTGGGCAAAATGATGGTAAATTCATCATCAAACCATAGACTTTTGACCAAAAGTCAGAACATCACTCACTGATGTCGCCAATGTGCTGATGTCACTTCCGGGTGATGCAGGCACATTGTGTGCAATGTCGATTTTGGGGGGGAATTCCCTCCGGTTGGCCAGCTGGCTGTCAGCAAGGCAGGAGCCCAGAAAAACGGGATTGCCTGCTCCCACCAAGTAACTGGCAACCCTAAGAGAGACCCATCACATGTTTTTCTCCCCTCGCGGCATCTTAACGTCAAAAGATTTTTTGGGGGAGGGGTGTTCTTTTCGCATCTCCCAACATCAGAAGGCCAAAAGGTCTTGGGGTGTCTCTGTTGGGTCAAACAACAGCATGTTAATGGGAAGATATGGAAGGACCTGTGAATTGGGGGCAACCTGTGTAGCTTGGCTTCACAGTTGAAACTGAAGGTTGTTTTTTCTCATAATCAAATTGTGCGGGGTTGAATGGCTAGCCCTTATGTGAATTACAATTCACAAAGGTGTCCTCTTTCCAGCTAATTTCAGAGTGTGAGAAAAAAGGTCCCACATGTGTTTAATTGGATAGCCATGGTGCTTTGAATAGAAATCCCATGGTTTAACCAACAGCCTGCCCCCCCCATCCATACTTCAGTCAGCTGTAGGTCAGAACAGATATGATGTAAATCATAGATTTGTCAGTATGTGAAAGAACAAGTTTCATGCACACGCAGCCACAATGTGGATCAGGTCCATGCAGGAAAAGGGGATTTGACTTTTTGGTTTCCTTTCAGTTTTGCTGATTGAAACTGAGTTCCCTGCCCCACTATTAAGCCAATCCTTTCCTTTTAAAATATTAATAACAGAATGGGAAGAGTGGTTGTGATTGCTGAAGCCAAGCAGAGACTGAAGGGTGAAATCTCCCTCTTTCATTTCTCTGCAGCCTGTATCAGGGCTACACATACTTGCACAATATAAAGTAATGATAACTGCCTGCTTTGGTATCACTCTGGAGTCAAACATGTGTGTCCATTGAGGAATGAAGGTGGAGAGAAGCAGAATCCGTTCCACAGCAAAACCTTGTACATTCTCTCCTGTTTGTATGTATGGCAATATCTAGCCTAAGTTTAAAAGCCACTTTACCTGGTACTTCACTGATAGGAATGGAAAGAAGAGCTGAAGAATCTTGTGGAGATTTTGAGCAAGAATGGGCATGATGACGATGATGACGATGATGACGATGGATGTGTGAATGATGCCATTGAAAAGCTCCATGCTCTTTATGGGGAGGGAGCCAAAGACAACAATTATGAAGTCTTGTTGCAGACCAACCTGCAGGTGACTGTTCCTGCCAAACGGATAATTTCGCTCAAGGCACAGCAGGTGAGTGCTTTCTTTGTCTATTTGCTCTCACTGTCTGATATCCTCAGGAAGGCTGCTTTTTCACCAAGGAATTCCCATGTTTTAGCTACTTGCCCTGTGTGGTTTTTTCATGTTTCCTCATGATGTCATCCTCTGTCTGTGCACAGGCTACCAACAGCCCATTCCTTCCACAAAAAACTCTGCTATATTTGAAACTGTTTTTTTTTTTTTTTAAAGGTGTTTCCTGGGCGGGACACTATTGGCACAAACAGTTTATTATGTCTGAACAGGAAATGGTGCAATTGCAGGACTTCTAGTCATTATTCTTTTCATTGTTGATGACCTCAAAGGACCAGTACCTTGCAGCAGTTACAGGAATTAGCATAAGAGATAAGAACCCCCCACTCCTAAGAGACAGACTAGACGTTATGGCAGCCAGGGGTTCATCCCATGGCCAATAAAAACAACAATAATTTTAGAAGATTTTGCCCATTTTAAAAAATGCTGTGAGGTCCTGATCCTGGGTCTGCCATGGCCCAAGGAGACCAGGAGACGTTGTTGCCTCCCTGCACCTTTTCTAGTGCTGAAACACTCCCCCCTTCTACAGCTGTTTCAATACATAAAAGGCATGGGAGGAGGTCTCCTGGCCCAGTCAGGATAGGGCCATCATCACAACATTTTTTTAAAAAAATGGCCAAAATCATCTCTAAAATGGTGTTTGGCAACCACGGGTCAGACCCATGACTGCCATGATGTCAAGATTTGCCTTTAGCCCACATTTCAGGCATAGGGGAGGGACAGGAGATTGTCCAGTGGTGCTTCTGCAAATACATGGCATTGCATCATTCTAATCCAATGTTACTTGCCTGAGAAAGAAACAGAAGACAGCTGCCCATACATCAGCCTGCTTGCGGGTGTGTGTGTGTGTCATCTGGAGGTACCTCTGTGAATATGTGGAGATTTTATTGCAAAGGGTTTGAAAATGTATCGTTATTATTCCTATGCAGCATAACCCATGCTCTGTAGAAAAACATTAAAACGGTGGGCAGAGAATCCTGACGGTCATGTGTGAAGGGCTTCAAGGCACATCAGGTGTGAAAAGGAAACCATGACTAACAATGGAGAGAAAATGGATTATTGTTCTGTCTAGAATCTCTGTTGCAAGGTTGATTTCATATAAAATCAAATCAGCAACCTGCAGTGGGGTACCGCAGGGATCAGTACTTGGTCCACTGCTTTTTAACTTGTTCATTAATGATTCCAAGTTGGGAGTAAGCAGTGAAGTGGCCAAATTTGCAGGTGATACAAAGTTGTTCAGGGTGGTGACAACCAGTGAGGATTGTGAGGCACTCCAAAGGGATCTGTCAAGGATGGGTGAGTGGGCGTCAACATGGCAAATGGGGTTCAATGTGGCCAAGTGCAAGGTGATGCACATTGGAGCCAAAAATTCTAAATATAAATACACATTGATGGGGTCTGAACTGGTGGAGACTGATCAAGAGAGAGATCTTGGAGTTGTAGTAGATAACTCACTGAAAATGTTGAGACAGTGTGTGACTGCAATAAAGAAGGCCAATGCTATGCTGGGGATTATTAGGAAGGGTATTGAAAACAGATCAGCCAATATCATAATGCCCCTATATAAATCAATGGTGCGACCTCATTTGGAATACTGTGTGCAGTTCTGGTCACCACAGCTTAAAAAGGATATTATAGCTTTGGAAAAAGTGCAGAAAAGGGCAACTCGAATGATAAAAGGGTTGGAACACTTTCCCTATGAGGAAAGGTTAAAGCGCTTAGGGCTCTTTAGCTTGGAGAAAAGACGACTGAGGGGTGACATGATTGAGGTTTATAAGATTATGCATGGGAAAGAGCAGGTAGAGAAAGAGGTACTTTTCTCCCTTTCTCACAATACAAGAGCTCGTGGGCACTCCATGAAATTGCTGAATGGTCAGGTTAGAACAGATAAAAGGAAGTACTTCTTCACCCAAAGAGTGATTAACACATGGAATTAACTGCCACAGGAAGTGGTGGTGGCTACAAGCATGGACAGCTTCAAAAGGGAATTAGATAAGCATATGGAGCAGAGGTCCATCAGTGGCTATTAGCCACAAGGTATAGATAGGGGCTCTGGGGCAAGTGATGCTCTGTCTTCTTGGTGCTTGGGGGGGGCAACAGTGGGAGGGCTTCTAGTGTCCTGGCCCCACTGGTGGACCTCCTGATGGCACCTGGTATTTTTGGCCACTGTGTGACAGAGTGTTGGACTGGATGGGCCTTTGGCCTGATCCAACATTGGCGTCTCTTATGTTCTCATGTTCTTATGACTACCATGGAAAACTACTCTCGTGTGGAAGCAGCCAGGGTTACACAATTGGGGACTGGTGTTGGGAAGAAAGACAGGGTACAAATTAAGTAAATACACAAATACCTCAAAGAGCCCTGAGAGGCAGGTTAGAATGAACTATAGTTGACTTGGTCAAGATTACACAGTGAGCCTAGATTAAGGCTGAGTGATGAATTTTTAAAACCTAGCTTCAGAAGTCCATGTCTAACACTGTCATTGAGTGGTTCTCATGAATCACTTTTCAATTTCAATACAGTACAAGCAGTCATAAACCAGTGCAAAGGCTGGTAATTACTGGATAGTCTTTTGTTATAAAATGGGAAAAAATGTGATTGCATGGTGTTTTGTGCATATTTAGAATATGAAAACTGGCTCTCGTGGGCCATGTTAGTTCATTGATTTTTTTAAAAAAGCAATAGAGAAATGCCGATTTATTAGAACTAAAAGTCATTGCTGGATTTTGACTTTTTCTTTAAAAATTAATTTCTTCTGGGTTTCTTTATAGACCTGAAATTTAAAATTACCTTGGACATAATCTCAGGTTTTGGTAATCCTAAAAAGTACAATGTGTTAGAGATTCTCAGTTTTTCTTCTGTACAAAACTTGGAGCTTCACCAAGTAGCACCAAGCCATCTCAGCTCTGTGTCAGCTTTTCACTAGGTATAGGCGGAGGTATCTGCATTCCTGGTCTTTATCAGCACGGACTGAGCATGCCAGGTCCAAAGTGGAATGATGGTCTCTAGGAGTAGCAGAAGTGCTCTGGGACTGAAACGACAGGTCCAAGGGTGGAATGACGGCTGCTGTGATTGAAATCAGTGTTCTGCCCCTGTAATCACAAACATTAGGGTGAATGAAATACTTTACACTGATTTCAGTTACAGGGGTCATCATTCCACTCTGGGACCTGTCATTCCAGTCCCAGAAAATACACCAAATCCTCCTAAGTAGTGTAGGAGCCAGTGCTTTGTGCAGACAGCAGACTACGAGGGGAAAGCTGGAGGGGGTGGAGGGAGGCAGGGACGGGTAGAGGGGAACTGAGAAAGAGGTGACCCCTCCTCTGCATTCAGCTGATTCCTCCAGACTCCCTGCTTCACTTGCAGAAGCTGCTACTGTGAGTAGGTATACCAACCACTCTTATTGGTTGCCAAGTGACTGCCTAAGCCTACCCATGAAGCCGGCTGTGCGGATTTCTAATGTAACCCATAAAAGGTGATAGCAGACCAAGGCTTGCCCAGTTGCTTCAGGACAAAGATAAAAACACACTGAGGAATGAAAAACTAACCCCCCCCCCATTAGTTATTGGGAACAGAGTCCACCTTTATCATAGTGAAGTTTCTGCTCAGTAAAGGATTACCAGGCATTTCCTTGAATTCTCTCTGTTTCTTCGATTTTCTTACTACCCTTGCAAAGTACTTACACAAAGTGATTTCTGTCCCATGGTGTAAGTATGTCCATTTCCCTCATGTTGGGGAACCCGTCCCCGTCCCTATTACTTGCATTTGCTTCTGAATACAGTGGATAGATTCTTTTACAATCAGCAAATTTTCTTACAGGCTATAATGTGCTTTGTGTGACTCATTTACCTGAAAACTCCCTCTCTCGCCATGGGATGGCAGCCATGTATTTTTATTATTAGATTGATTAGATTGACCTGTCTGGATGCATATTTTGGAATTCTCTTTTGAGCTAATTCAGATATCAATTTAAGTTCAGGAAATGGGATTGGTTGGCAATTCTGCAGTCTTTTCAATTAAACTAATGTCCAGTCCAAATTGTTGCTCAGAGTCCACCAAAATGAGAGGTTTTCTATGGCATGGGCTGAGATTTCTTAGAAAACTTGTGAAACTTAACAAAAATTAGCAGTAAATTCAAAACAGAACCATTATCAATCAATCTATCTATCTAATAGCAAACTTGCCCCCGGAGTGCGGATCACTAAATCCGCGCTCCGGGGGCAGCTGGGGGGCCGGGGGAGGTTTGTGCACACGTGGGCCAGTCCCCACGAGTGCACAAAAATGCAAAAAGTTGAAAAAAATTTCGGAGGGATGTTTAAATCCCCCCAAAAGTGCAAGAGCGTCTCCTGCGCGTGCGCAGGAGACGCTCTGCGACCTACCGGGCTTGCGTGCGGGGGAAGGGAGCGAACGGCCGGTGAGGCCCAGCAGCAGCGGCGGCAGGGGAGAAAGACCGGTGAGGAGGGGGAAGAGACGTGGAGCCAGCGTTCCCGTGAAGGGAAAAGAAGCGGCCTGCGGCAACGTCCGAGGGGGAGAAGGCGGCGCTCCAGAGACACACACACACACACACCCCTCCTCCCTAGAGAGCCCCCGCCAGCTCGCGCCCGAAAGCGGCGCCCCTGCTTGAAGTTGCCTGCGGGCGCCCGGCTCGGGCCGCTGGGATGCGGGCCGAGTGAGCGGCTTGCCGGGGCCGGCGGCATGCGAGGCGGCAACTGGAGCGGCTTGGACAGCCTGCCTCGGAGCGGCCCCCTTGGGTGGCTTCCACCTTGGCCGCCATCCTCATCTTCACCATCGTGGGGGGGAGAAGAGAGAGAAGGGGGGGAAAGAGAGAGAAGGGGGGAGAGACAGAGCCTGGGGGGGGAAGAGAGAGAACGGAGTTCAAGATGAACTCAGTACGCAACGGGTCTCCACTTGTATATTATATTTTCCATTTCCCCCCCACAAACGAATCATGTTTTCCTGTGTGGTACCTAGGGCTGACAACTCACTTTAAAGAAAGAACAAAACATTCCCATTAACTAGCAGTGCTTAAAATAAACCTGGACAATTCAATACTGTTAGAATATAACTGTAATTATGTCTGGGGGAACGCATATGAACACACCACAAGTGTAACCCAAGTGTGAGTCCTCAATCCAACAACAGATTCAGATGAATCAGGGCTGGAGCAAGGTGGGTTTGGGAAGATCAGGAGTTGAAGTCCAGTATAACAAGATGTGAGATCAACTGAATCCCCCCCCCTCCCCCCCCCGGATCAAGTTAGTTTGTTTATTCAACAAACTATTTGATGTGGAACTCAATGCAAAAAAAAGTTAAAAATCAAAGGAGCAAGAAAAATATTTGAAACCTGGTGACTGTAGACATTGGTAGCATAAACAGGAGAGGGATTATTGGACTGAAATCCCCTTAGAAGACCAGTGGATTTTTTCTGTATATTACCTAATTTTTGTGTTACAGGCAGAAGAGCTCTCCCGTAAATTGGATCCTTACATTCGTGTTCGGGATGAAGGCACTGAAGGGCTGTGGCCACTGATCAAGTATGTGGAAGTGACTATTCCAGGGTCAGAAATCCTTCCAGAAGGCGTCATATTTTTGGATATTCCTGGGACAGGAGACTTCAATGTCAAAAGGGATGAAATGTGGAAACAGGTGACTATTTACAGGGAGGAGATGAAAATGTTATGAACACATCAGTTAAGTGAATTAAACTTTTGTTGACTAGCAAGTGTGAAGAGAAAAGACCCCAAAACCTGGTTCAAATCTGTGTCTCAGCCTAGCATTATTATTCCATTATTAAGAAGAAGAAGAAGAAGAAGAAGAAGAGATTGAATTTATATCCCGCCCTTCACTACCCAAAGGTGTCTCAGAGCAGCTTACAAACTCCATTCCCTTCCCCTCCCCACAACAGACACCCTGTGAGGTAGGCGGGGCTGAGAGAGCTCTTGACAGAAACTGCTCTTTTTCAAGAACAGCTCTTATCAGAACAATGGCTTGCCCAAGGTCATCCAGCCAGGTGCAAGTGGAGGAGTGGGGAATCAAACCCGGTTCTCCCAGATTAGAGTCCGCGTACTTAACCACTACACCAAACTGGCTCTCATGCAATGAATTTCTTGTTTTTTACAATAGAGTATTAACACATGTTCAGTCATCTGGATCATTAGTGACATTGAGCGTACTCAAGGAGAGAAGATCCAGGCCAAGTTACTGGAAGAAAGCATCAAGGCCTTCCCAGGAGGGGTCTGTACTGACATCGCCATGGTGGTCACCAAATCAGATAAAATGGATCTTGACGAATACAGAAGGTATTTACAAAGATCTTTGTTGACAAAATACACCTCTCCACCAAAGTGAAAAAGAACCCTGTAGTCAAATTTAAGGTCCCAGAACTGTAATTTAAAATTATCCACCTTGGGAAAACTGTGACTTCTAATTCTTATTTGTGAGTTTCCTTTCAATTCTGATCTGAATGCTGTGCATATACAACCCCCTGGCTCTGTTGTTTCTAGCCTATGATGACTAATTTCTACCACAAATCTTTTGAAATTTATGCTAGTCTAAAAGAATCTCTCTCTTTTCCAGCGAAAGAAAAAATAAAGATGTAAGTATGAATTCTGAAAACTTGACCTATGAGGTTGTTTAAAACTCTCCCCTGACAAAAGTTTCATATCAGCAATTTTCTGCTCTGGTGGGATGAATTGCTGTAAATAGAGCCAGTCTAAGTTTTGGGTTTTTTCATTGATGGCCCATTCGTGACATCAATGGCTACTACTCAACAAGTGTGAAGGACAGAGCTTGTGTAAGTTCCTGGGTTGAGTGAAAATTAAAAAAGAAAAACTGTCACACCCCTCTCTGCTTCTCTTGTCAGTTTGTTATGGAAGAGTGTGAAATTAGTATTAATTAACTGATAAACAAAATGGGGGCACAAGTTTATTTATTCATCTTCTCTTGTGTTGCTTTATTAATAGTTTTCTAAATGGAGGTGATACCATGCATTCTCAAAGTTTTCATTCTTCCAGTATGCAGTTTCAGGACTGGACTGTCTGGAAAGTGAAAATCACTCTGGAGCAAGCCACGTCAAATGGTCCTGCAGTATTATAAGCAGTGGTGCTCATTAGTTCACCCATTGCTTTTCCCCACAAATTGGCAGCAGAGTGGGAGGAGACATTTGGTGAACTGACACCAATTACCATTATCAGTGAAGTGTCTTAAGACAAGTGTCCTCTGAGGCAGTGGCAGAATTGGTGGGTCCTGGCCATTAGTGGCCTTCTAGGGAAGTGGTCCACTGGGAGATTCTCCTGTGACCAGTGCTCCCCTGGATGGTTCAGTGGTGTGGGTTAGGGTTAGATACGTCGCTGGGCACTACATGTGATTCTACTGACCTTTTCCAAATACAGTTTCCCTTGGAGAATGAGCATGATGCCATTTTAGAGAGGAACCAAGATTTGAAGAACAAGAAGGAGAGATTCATTAAGGAGAAGCTGCAGGTAAGGTGCCCCACACACTAAGTCCCAGAAGCTTGTAGCTCCTACACGTTTCATCTCCTGTACTGAACAAATGCCATATGGCTTGTCCGAGAAGCAGATTTCAAGAACTCCTTTGTTATGAACCGATCATTACTTGAGGAGGTTTACTTTAATCTCAGGAGAACTCAGAACTTGTGCAGGATTGGGGGACCAGTTAAGAGATTACTGATGTCCAGGTTGCTTTCCAATATTCTGCATATCTTGAGACAACCTTGGCTGTGATGATCAAATATTGGTGAGGGGACACTTCTGTATCTCCTTTGTGGCAGTGCTGGTCATGACGCTGTGGGTTGGTAGAACTGCTCCCATTTGGCATGATTTAGACAGCACAGTTTCTGCAGCATGATTTAGACAGCACAGTTTCTGCAGAATGATCTCAGCATGTTGCCACAGCAAAGTTTAATATTGGTTGCTTGGATAGTTCCAGCTGTGGCCTAACGATGTAGACACTGCTTGGGGATCTCAGGCTTTCTTCACCCCTGCTCCTCATGGCTTATCACATCTAGCTGGAGGGTAATACCTGTTTGGATCCAGTCAATAATGAATGATTTCTTGAAAAGGGGGGGGGGCTAGTGCCACACTGACAGAGACACTTGTGAGAAACCGTAGTCCTGAATTGTTTGAATAAAGCTGTCTGGGAACACCTCTGGACTTACCTGGGGCATGGAAGTAACCAGGTGCACCAGTGGCCTCATGGCTCTTGTCCTGGTGTGCCTCTGATCCCATTAGCTGAGGGGGCTCCGGAGGCGGCAGTCAGGGTCCAGCAGCAGTGGGTTGATTGATTTCTTGCAGCTCAGGAAACTGATGGTACCCTAAGACATCTCTGAGATATTGTAGTGGTAAGTAAAGGTCTCCACTCTAGCCTACTCTGGCTAGAGAAGGAAGCAGGAGTATGGGCATGCATAAGCAAAGATCCTTGAGGGCAGGAAGAAGTTTGCCTGCATTTCATCCTCTGGACTTATCAGGAAGAAGTGCCACACTTAGTTCATGAACATGAGTGGGTTGGTCACCAGGGCATCACTAAGACTTTTATAGCCCAACTCTCGCAGTATACTGCACAGATTTCAGGTTCTATAAATACAACCCTGTAAAAAGACATTCCAATCCCAAAGAAGGGCAATGCCAAGGAATGTTCAAACTATCGCACAATTGCACTCATATCACATGCTAGCAAGGTCATAAGATCCTACAAGCTAGGCTTCAACAGTACGTGGATAGAGAACTGCCAGAAGTACAAGCTGGGTTTCGAAGAGGTAGAGGAACTAGAGATCAGATTGCCAACATTCGCTGGGTTATGGAGAAAGCCAGAGAGTACCAGAAAAACTGTCCATGGTGAAGAATCGATTCAAGGGTCTAGATTTGATAGATAGAGTGCCTGAAGAACTATGGACGGAGGTTCATGACATTGTACAGGAGGCAGCAATCACCACCATCCCAAAGAAAAAGAAAACAAGAAAGCAAAGTGGCTGTCTGACGAGGCTTTACAAATAGCAGAGGAAAGAAAGAAAGCAAAAGGCAAAGGTGAAAAGGAAAGATTTACTCAACTGAATGCAGATTTCCAGAGAACAGCAAGGAGAGATAAGGAGGCTTTCCTGAATGAACAATGCAAAGTAATAGAGGAAAACAATAGAATGGGAAGGACTAGAGATCTCTTCAAGAAAATTAGGGAAATCAAGGGAGTGTTCCATGCAAAGCTGGCCATGATAAAGGACAAAAATGGTAGGGACCTAACAGAAGCAGAAGAGATTAGGAAAAGATGGCAAGAATACACAGAAGAACTATACAAGAAAGACCTTGATGTCCGTGACAACCACGATGGTATAATCACTGACCTCGAGCCAGACATCCTGGAATGTGAAGTTAAATGGGCCTTAGAAAGCATTACTAACAACAAAGCTAGTGGAGGTGATGGTATCCCAGCTGAGCTATTCAAAGTCTTAAAAGATGATGCTGTTAAAGTGCTGCACTCAATTTGCCAGCAAATTTGGAAAACGCAACAGTGGCCACAGGATTGGAAAAGGTCAGTATACATTCCAATCCCAAAGAAGGGCAATGCCAAGGAATGTTCAAACTATCGCACAATTGCACTCATATCACACGCTAGCAAGGTCATGCTCAAGATCCTACAAGCTAGGCTTCAACAGTACATGGATAGAGAACTGCCAGAAGTACAAGCTGGGTTTCGAAGAGGTAGAGGAACGAGAGATCATATTGCCAACATTCGCTGGATTATGGAGAAAGCAAGAGAGTACCAGAAAAATATCTACTTCTGCTTCATTGACTATGCTAAAGCCTTTGACTGTGTGGATCACAACAAACTATGGCAGGTCCTTAAAGAGATGGGAGTACCAGACCACCTCACATGTCTCTTGAGAAACCTGTATAAGGGCCAAGAAGCGACAGTTAGAACCGGATATGGAACAACTGATTGGTTCAGCATAGGAAAAGGAGTACGACAAGGATGTATATTGTCACCTTGCTTATTTAATATATATGCAGAGTACATCATGCGAAATGCTGGCCTGGATGAATCACAAGCGGGAATTAAGATTGCTGGGGAAAAGATCAACAACCTCAGATATGCAGATGATACCACTCTAATGGCTGAAAGTGAAAAGGATCTAAAGAGCCTCTTGCTCAGAGTAAAAGAGGAGAGCGCAAAAGTGGGCTTGAAGCTCAACATCAAAAAAACTAAGATCATGGCATCCGGCCCCATCACTCCTTGGCAAATAGAAGGGGAAGTCGTGGAAGTAGTGACAGACTTCACGTTCCTGGGATCCCAGATCACCGCAGACTGTGACTGCAGCCATGAAATTAAAAGACGCCTGCTCCTTGGGAGGAAAGCGATGGCGAACCTAAACAGCATGATAAAAAGTAGAGACATCACCCTGCCAACAAAAGTCCGCATGGTCAAAGCAATGGTATTCCCAGTAGTCATGTATGGCTGCGAGAGCTGGACTATAAGGAAGGCCGAGCGCCGAAGAATAGATTCTTTTGAACTATGGTGCTGGAGAAGACTCTTGAGAGTCCCTTGGACTGCAAGAAGAACAAATCAGTCAATCCTCAAAGAAATCAACCCTGACTGTTCCCTGGAAGGCCAGATAATGAAACTGAAGCTCAAATACTTTGGCCACCAAATGAGAAGGGAGCACTCACTGGAGAAGACCCTGATGCTGGGAAAGATTGAAGGTCAAAGAAGACGGGGACGGCAAAGGACCTCTGCCGTCACCAATCTCCTTCCCCCCCCCAGCTCCGCTGGTCTCCTCCCCCTCCAATCTCTTCCTCCTCCCCCCCCCCGGCTCCAGTGATCTCCTCCAACTCTGCCACCACTGATCTCCTCCCCCCCGGCTCTGGCGATCTCCTCTGCTGCCACCACCACCGATTTCTTCTCCCCCCTCTCCTGCGGCAAGGCCTGAATGACTTCCAGCTGCCAGCCCTCCACAGAGTCCCCGGAGCGTTCTCTGCTCCTGTGCAGGGAATGCTCTTTTACTTTTGGGGGGATTTAAATATCCCCTGCATATTTTTCCCAAGTTTTCAGATCTTTCTGCACATCTGGGGATTGCCCCAAGTGTGCAGGAAAATCTCCTTGCCCCCCAAGTGCCCCTGATGTGCAGATTTAGATATCCACACTGAGGGGGCAACTTGGTTATTAGATATATAGATAAGCAAGGTGACAATATACATCCTTGTCGTACTCCTTTTCCTATGCTAAACTAACCAGTTGTTCCATATCCGGTTCTAACTGTCGCTTCTTGACCCTTACTATCGGAGAACGTTAGAGGAATTTTCTAATGGTTCTAATAAGTTCATGGAACTCTGCAGTGATCATAAAATTTTGGAATTACAAAGCTATGGAAAGGACCCCTTGGTATGTTTTTTAATGAGGTATTATAAGCAATTGACATTACTGTTTTTCTTTATATCCTAGTTGGCACATGTCCTATTTGAAAAACTAAAACTTAAAAAAGTAGATGGAGAAAACAAACCTGTATTTTAAGTGCCAGAGTAGAGAGCAGCTTGTCACAACAAAGGAAGGGCAGATGGAGGGAGTCTGTAATGGATCTGTTGTGGGTTGCTACAGCAGAAAGAGGGAACACTTTTGTAAGAATCTTCCCATTTGTGTGTCTTTCAGAGAAAGCTGCCACTTGATTCAGAAGTCCTTAAAAAGGACAAATTGGTTTATACAGTCAGTGCCCGAGAATTCTGGAATCCAAAGCACCTCAGTCCAGAAGAAACAGGTAATGAAGGCCCTGGCAAGCTCATTAAACCATCTTACCCATGTGTTGCCTTATACCTTGTCAGATCACTGGTGTATCAAACGCAGTATTGTCTACTGTATCTGAGAGCAGCTGTCTAGGGTCACACATCTTCTACCTAATCCCTTTAACTGTAGGTGCATGCAAAGTAGATGCTCTGCTGCTGAGCTGTGGTCCCTCTTTTGGTATTTGTGCTCTGTCTGGACACTGGGAGGTATTTTTTTTAAGCCAACTTGGTTGGGCTCCTCACTGAGTTGCAATCTGATGAAAAGTTCATGTGGGGCAGTGTCACGGCTCAGGTGGGGCGTCACCTGACGCTGCCACCACTCTGGTTCCAGGCTCCCTTGAGAAGGCCCAAAGTACCCTCCCAAGACCTTCAGATGTCCCTTTTGGCCAAATAATAGGCGTGAGGACCAGGCAGAGTGAAACAAGGAAAAGGTTTATTTTATAGGAGGTCAGACTGTTGGATACAAATGGGTTTTCAAAATATCAGACATCTCAGCATAAACAACAAGGTGCAGAATTATAACAGTAAGTGGGTGAAAAGAAAAGAAATCAAATGCCCTAATGCGTCTAAATACACACCGTCCCTAGCTCACTATTCCAAGTGACACTAGACTACTCACCCTTCCCTCAGGATGGGTTTCTTCCTGCAGCAACCTTCCTTCTGGCTCTGCCCTCTGGAAGAAAGAACAGCCTTTGCTCTGGCATCAGCCCTTTTGTTCCCCAGCCCTCTTCTTCCCTATTGGTCAGTTTTGGCTCCAAAACCTCTCAGGGGCTTCTGGGAGTTGTAGGCCCAGCCTCACTTACTGCTAGCCAGGCTCCCTGGGCCTAGTAGACCTCTGGTGGCACAGCCCAGATAATGACAGGCAGGGAGGATCTTGATTGCAAAGTCCAATGTAATAGGATTGCATAATAACATAAGAACCCTGTTTGATCAGACCAATGATTCTTCTAGTCCAGCATATTGTATCACATAGTGGCCAACTAGTTATCCTGGAGGGCCAAGAAACAGAGTATTTATTGATTTATTTCTTCACATTTATTTCTTCACATTTATTATAGGAGCCAAGGCCTTCCCCTGATGTTGCCTCCTAGTGCTGGAATTCAGAGGTTAATTGTAATCATACTTAGATGGGGTAAATTTGAGGCTGATAAGGGTTAGAAGGTTCACCAGCTATTTTTACCATTAATTCTTGCTGGACCACAAGGCTATTGTGTGAATTTATAGAATTTGACAGAACTAAAGCTTCATATTTACATTAAATTTGTTGCCATTTGAAATTTTAAGAAATGCTTTAAAGGGAAGGATTTTCTGGCAGAAAGGAGGTTTTTTTAATAAGAATATATCTTAACTCTTTGCATGTCTTACTTTTTAATATCTCAGAGATCCCAGAGCTGAGGGACTACCTCAGGAAGATCTATCTGAAGGAGAAACAGAAACTGGTGAAAGATTATGTGACTGAAGTATGCGGCATCCACAGGCTGGCTAAAAATTTTTGTTCCACGCCACAGCTTGAGGTATGAACATAGAACTTCTAGAGCCAGAAAGCATACAACCAGTTAGAATGAACCATCTAAGAGTCTGAGAGTCCTGCTATCAAAGATTTGCCTGGTGAATTCAAATTCAGCCACAATCCGAGTCCTGGCTCCCAGGTCCTGTATTTGTCTTGCCTGCACCACTGTTAATTAATTACTCCCTTGCTGAAGAGACTTTTTGTTGCTCTTGTAGGACCAGATATTTCAGGAAAGTGGTGTGAAAGAATTAATGTTGAAGGATATCAACCCTTTGGAGAAGCACCTTGAAAAACGTTTTGATGAGATACAGCAGCCTCTCCGTGAAAGTGTGGAGCATGCCAGAAAGAACTATAAGAATACTGTCAATAAGTTGCTCACAGTAAGGAAAATCCACTATTCCCCCTTATGACCCTGTTTCATCCTGCTTCTAAACACATCTTTTGATAAACCTGCATCATGCGATGCAGCAACTTAAACAATATATGATAAACTGGGATCAGGAGTGGCATAGAAACCAATCTGGGTACATCGTGGAACACTGGGCTTTAACTTCTCTGTATTCAGTCTTCAGACAAAAGTATTACAAATTCTGGGTATTATTCCTAAAAGGTTACTGCAAAAGCTGTCTTATGCCAACTCCATGGGGTTTTTGAGGCAAGACCAACAAATAACAAACTATTGAATTTTGTTGGTCTTGGAGATGCCAGTGAACTCGAAACAAATCCTTGCATCTGTTTGTTAACTCTTGTATTCATATGCTCATTCACTGCCATTCACAGTTCCTTAATCCAATCTCAGCTATAATTGCCCAGCTAGTTATGCATCTTGACTCTAACTAGCCTTTCCTGGCAACGAACCCCTCCTACTCTCTCTCTACCTATATGTAAAGTTTGAGGAAGTTTTGTTTAACTGTATCTGAAGAAGGGCATAAGGAAAGTAAGTTTCATCAATTATAATGGGCGTGCTTGTGAAGAAATGTATTTTTCTTTGGAGGTCTAAACTGAGTAAAACCTTCACCAGGAGTTTTTAAAAGTATTTCTCTCTCGGCAGAGAATAGGCAGGAGGGGGGAAGTCAGATCATTGCTTTCCAGCCTCACTTCAGTCAACATTTTAAGGAGTGCTAATGGGTATTTATTTATTACACTTATATCCCACCCTACCCCATGGTGGTCTCAGGGTAGGGTTGCCAGACCCCCACCAGGGGCAGGGGAAATCTCCGCTTTGTGTTGGACGTTTTCCTGCCAGCTGGCTGGTGGGGGGAAATCCCGCCCCCAAGTGGCCCAAAAGGCAATGTGATGATGTCAGCCGGAAGTGATGTCATCATGTTGCGTGGCGACACTCTAGTTTTGGGGCAAAACTCTATGGGGCTGCCTCCTTCCCTATGTGCCCTGTAGAGCTTTGCGCTCTACTGAGCAACATCTGCTGGTAGTTCCCTCCCTGAAAGACGTCCACTTAGCTTCAAACAGGGCCAGAGCATTCTCTGCCCTGGCTCTGGCCTTGTGGAACATGCTCCCACTTGAGATCAGGGCCCTGCAGGATTTAATGTAATTCCGCAGGGCCTGTAAAACAGAGCTGTTCTGCCAGGCCTTTGGGTGAGGTAGTAGGCATCTAAATACTCTGGCCTTCCCTGTCTGTACTGCTCAGGTGAACTGCACTTTAGAGATCACCATGGCATCTGCTGAGTGGGTCCTTAGCTTTATCAGCATAAGGCCAGCACTGGAGGCGCCCATGGATGCTGGAAATAGAAATTTCTGTCAATTGTTGCTGTTTTTAAGAATTTTAACTTTGTATGGATTTGTATTTATATCTTGATTTATTGCTATGTTTGTATTTTAACTGTTGTGACCCACCCTAAGCCCGCTTGTGGGGAGGGCAGCATATAAATGCAAATAAATAAATAAGATCAGCTACAAACCATACAGCAGAGGTGTCAAACTCATTTGTTATGAGGGCCAGATCTGACATAAATGTCACTTTGTCAGGCCAGGCGATTTGTGCCGTAAAATGTAACACGAGGTATCAGTGATAATAAACTTTATTAAGATGATTTCAGATGCCGAATGGTAATAGCAGGCATTATTGGATTAGGTGTGATATGCAAAGGGGTAGTAGGCATGAAGATATCAGCATTGGTAATGAGACAGGAAACCTAGGTCTCAATTTGATACAGGAGGATCATTTTAACCTTCCAGGACATTCAGTTGCTGACCTAAAAGTATCAGTTCTTTTACAAAGGAATTTCAAAGGGAGATTAGAAAAAGAGACTGCTCAATTGCAACTGATAATGAAGCTCAAGACAATGCATCGTCCTGGACTGAATTGAGACCTAGGCTTCTTCTCTCATTACCAAAGCCTGCTATTGTCACTTGGCGTCTGAAATCACTTCACTCTCCAAGATATGACAGATGGACTCACATTCTAGCTGTATCCGAAGAAGTGAGCAGTGATTCATGAAAGCTCATGCATGGCCACAAATTTTGTTAGTCTTTAAGGTGCTACTGGACTCTTGCTCCCTTCCACTAATAATGAATGCAAGCTGCGTTGTTAGGTTTCTCCCCCCCCCATCTGTTAGAAATGAAAAGGAGGATCTCTCCAAGTGCCATGGGACTCCCTCCCTCCCTCTCTCTGGCTTTCTCTCTCTGGCTCTTGCCCTCCCTCCCTTCCTCTCCCACTCTATCTTTGAAGAAGTATGCAGACACACAAAAGCTTATACCTGGAATAAAACGTTGTTGGTCTTAAACACGGGACTCTCTCTGTTTCTTTGTTGTGCTCTCTCTGGCTCCCCCCCCCCAAAGAAGTGTACTTGCACACAAAAACTTATACTTGGAATAAAATGCTGTTGGTCTTAAAGGTGCCACGGGACTCTTTTTTACTGTCTCTCTGGCTCTTCCTCCCCATCCCTCCACAGAGGAGGGGGCAGAGCCCTCAGCCAATCGAGGGAAGGGAGGCTTGGCTTTCTTTCTCTCTTCTACAAAGCAGGAAATAGGAGAAACTGGGCAAAAAAAGATGTGATGCAGGAAACAGGAAGCAGCAAGCCCTGTTGGAGCCCTGCAGGGGCTGGATCTGGCCTTCGGGCCGTATATCTGACACCCCTGCAATAGAGTTTTGCCCAAAAACTAAAGCATCACCCCCAGTGTCAGCAAAGTGATGACGTCACTTCCATGTGATGTCATCATGCCACATGCGCTTTGCACAAAAGGCAAAAGATCCAAGAAAGGACCAAGGATCACCCCTACTAATGGGTCTAGCTAGAGGCAATGGGTTAGTCCAGTCCTCCCCTGCTTAAAGCCTGCCTTATATTTAACATCTGCTAGGGCCTGTATAGAGACAGGGACAGAGAAATTGCATTTTACCCTTTTCTATTGAATCTCTTGCTCAGTCTGGTGCTCTGCTAAGAGTATGTTTTTGAACATTTTCTTTTAAATAAATACTTTATAACTTTCTATACGGTTAGTAGTTCTCTGTACTGCATAGACCTCCACTGTCTTGGACACGCTATTTTTAAAAAAAGAGTGCCAGGAGGAGAGGGAGGGGCAGTTATTTGGTAAGTGGCTGCTTCCCCAGTAGTGCAGTAAGCTGTTGCTGTGATAGCCAGATGCTGGGTGGCAGGAGACACAAAGGCAAGGCCTCAAAGCTTGGAAGGGAAGCTGGGAGTCTTGATCCTCCCAGTGGACAATTCCTACAAAGGCCAGGTGGTGGTGGCAGTTAACCAGAGAGAAAGAAAAGCCCCTCCAGGTGTTAACAAAACAGGGCTGCCATCCCCCAGGTCCCAGCGGTGGATTCCCTGGTTTTGGGGGCTCCAATCTGCTGGGGAGAAGACCTGCACCCAAGCTTGCCCACCAACAGTCACCCCTCTCCCTTCCCTCCTGCAAGATTTAAAGGGCCCTTCAGCTGATTGGTGGGGAGCCAATCAGCTGGAGGGCCCTTTAAATCTTGCAGGAGGGAGGGAGGGGTTGTGCACCACCCCCTGCTTCTTCTCAAAAGCATTTAGATGATTCCTTTAAATGCTTTTGAGAAGAAGCAGAGGGCCTGCACGAGCATGCACTCTAAGCCATGAATTCATGCCTTGGAGCGCAGGTGCCAGTCCCCAATATGATGATGTAAGTTCTGCGTGATGTCATTACATTGGGGCTGTCCCCGCCCCCCTGGAATGCTCCCCAAAGTCCCCCACTGGGGGCTCAGAGGGACCTGGCAAACCTATAGGAAAACCTTTGAGGGCATGGTGGAATAGGGCCTGCGGGTCATAGCCCCAGCGCTCAATCTATATGTCTAATAGCCAAGTTGCTCCCTCCGTGCAGATATCTAAATCCGCACATTGGGGGCACTTGTAGGGCAGAGAGATTTTCCTGCACACTTGGAGCAATCCCCAGGTGTGCAGAAAAATCTAAAAAGTTGAAAAAAGCATACGGGGGATACTTCAATTCCCCCAAAAGTAAAAGAGCATTCCCTGCGCATGCGCAGAGAACGCCCTGGCAACTGTCTCACCCTCACTGCTAGGGGGGAGGGAGAAGGCTTGGCGGGCCACTGCTGCTGGGGGGGAGGGGGAGCACTTGGTGGGGGAGAGAGAAGGCTTGGTGGGCCCGGCAGCCAGGAGCTGCGGGGGCATCGACATTGGTCCTGGGGGTGGGGGAGAAGGCTCACCTGCAGCTGCTTCCTCCTCCTCCTCCTCCTCCACTTGGAGCTCCTCCCCCCCGCGAGTATCGTGGGTCCCCCTTATGTAACTACCCTAATGACATAGGAACTAATGGCTTGGATCCAGAATAGTATTTCCTCCTTTGGTCAGAGGAGCATCATAAAGGAAAGGATTTCCACATGGAAAAGTGTTCCCGCATGTGTAGTACAATTTCCCTGCCTCTTACCGCCTTCAGCAGCTCAAAATGCTCCCCATAGACCTGGCTGCTGCAGGAGGGGGCAGAATCTTATACCGTGTGCAGAAGTTTTTGTGCCTGTAGAAATAGTGTTCTGAATTCAGCCTTAATGAGCAAGGTAACAGAATATTCTGCCAGACTTGACCCTTTATGGTTCTTATTGACATGTACAAAGAAAGTATGATATAAATGCACTTGAAGACAGCCTTGAATTTACATGTTCAGTTTCTTTTGGCTTTCCTTGTATTCATTGTCTTTTAGAATCTTTACCACCGTTTTTTTAATGAGCAGCATTTCACATTGGTCTTAACTTAATTGAGTCCATTAATACCCTGTTTCTAGAGAGATGAAGGATACCGAGGTTATCACAGGACCCTGAAAGCGGTGTGCTTGAAGGATGGTATATATGCCTCTAGGAGATTTGCTCGCATTGATTTCAATGAAAGTCTCGCCAAGCCCATCTATCATAAGGTTGATACCATTTTTGGAAGTCTCTTCAGGTAATAGAATCTTGTACCTGTTCTGCATATTAGGACATTGTTTAAATGGCATTTATTCTATTTTTTTTTAATTGGATTTCTAGTCCGCCCTCCCCTGCACACCAGGGCTCTGGGCAGATTACAACAGTAATTATAAACAATTAATATACAATAATATAAACAATTAAAAACATAATACAAGTTATAAGAAGAAGAAAAAGAAGAGATTGGATTTATACCCCGCCCTTCACTACCCAAAGGTGTCTAGAGCAGCTTACAAACTCCTTTCCCTTCCCCTCCCCAGAACAGACACCCTGTGAGGTAGGCGAGGCTCAGAGAGCTCTTGACAGAAACTGCTCTTTTTCAAGAACAGCCAGGTGCAAGTGGAGGAGTGGGGAATCAAACCTGGTTCTCCCAGATTAGAGTCCGCACACTTAACCACTACACCAAACTGGCTACCACCTACCAGAGCAAGATGGTGATAGAAGACAATTCATAAGTCCCTGAAGTACATGATACAATAAATGAAACTTGGGTGGGGTGGAGGATTATAGGTAAACAAGACTATGTAGATGTTTATCCCTAAGCTAAGGACCTCACCAACAGAATTCATTCACATGCCAGGGCTATATGTTTTGTGCAGACAAATTTACTGAAGATACTCCAGGGCGATTATCCACAATAGCTAATTCTACCCTCCATGCTCAGAGGCAGTATACCTCTGAATATCAAGTGCTGGGGTCAAACAACAGGGGACAGCTGTAGGGCTCCTGAAGGCATCTGCTTAGCCACTGTTGGAAACAGGATGCTGGATTAGATGGATCCTTGGCTGGATCCTGCAGAACTTTTCTTTTGGTCACATGACCTTCTGATACCTGCTCAACCTCCTGGTATCACCCGCTTGCTTGCTTTAGGATATTGGACCGGCTTCTCTTGAAGCATATTTTACATAGCTTTCTGTTTCGCTCTTTCTTTCTTTTTTTTAATGCATTGAAGCAGAAAGAGTCATCCTGTAGTTTTTTCTCCTCCTGTAGTTGTTATAAAATGGGTAAGTTCCTGTTTCTTCAGGCAAGGGGGTCTATTATTCGGCATGTGTTCTGCTCCCTCTAATCTATCTGTCTGTCTGTCTGTTAGGATATGTGTGACCCTTCTGTAGCTTCCACCCTGGTATCATTCTGGTGTTGTAAAAGATAGAAGGCCCACCTACAGTAATTCAATGGATTGAGGATCTTATTTTGGCACATGGCATATAGATGGCAATTGCACATGGCTTATTTTTAGATATTTGGAAACCATTTATAGAAACTTATTTATGGATCCGCCACCACTGTTGTTATATTTTTGTCTTTATGTATATCTTTTATTTTTTTTAAGAAAAATAAGCTTCCACCTTGGTATGGCATTTTTTATCTGCTGTTTGGAGCTTGAGATGGTGAAGTACACAACTTTGCTCTTCATGCTAACCTTGCTATTCCAATAGGACCCAGAATGCCACCAGAACCAGTTTGTGGTCTCACCTGGAAATGTTTAAAAATGAGGTGCAGAGCAAGATACGCCAAACTGGAAAAAACAAACACTTGCCAAATAACAGCAGAAAGATTGAAATTTTCATTCAAGAAGTAAGTTTATAATATTGAGAGGGAAAATTCAGGTAATTAATAAAGATAAGAAAACAAGGAAGAAAGGATTGTATTTTTTCAACCCATTTCCCCAGATATATTTGTGAATTATATAAATGGGTATTTTATTTTCTTAGGTTTTTTTACAAGAACTCCAAAAGATACTTAGATTTTACCAGCTAGTTGGTGGGAAGTTGGTTCTCAGCCTCATAGAAGGTTGGTTTCCAAACTCAAGGTGGGGCCTGGAGTTCTCCCAGAATTACAGCTGAACTCCAGACTACGAGATCAGTTCCCCAGGAGGAAATGGCAGCTTCAGAGGGTGGACTCTATGGTATACCCTAGAGTCTAGAAGAAATAGGTCCTAGAGTGACATCACATCACTGCTGAGCTCCCCCCCCTCCAAGCTCTACTCCCAAATCTCCAGGGATTCCCTAAGCCAGAGTTGGCAACCATGTGGGAGGCAGTTCCATTGGTTATAGAGCAGCAGTCTAAGAGCCTTTATGCTATACCAAGACAAGAAAGGGGACACAGGAAGCAGGAGGCCCAAGGCCCAAGACTTTAAAGCTTTATAAATCCAAACCAGTGTCTCGAAAGCAAGAGGGAGTGAGACAACTGAGACAACTTAAAAACTGGTGTGAAAATTGTGTACATCTTTAAGGTGCCACTGGGCTCCTGTTTTATTAAGCTTAGTTTCAGATAATTTCTATGAGAAAAGGATTAAGACATTTCAAAACTTTAAATTGATTCCTACAGACAAACGTAATTCTGAAAAAACTAGAAAAACAGATTCTCTGGAGCAAGTCAAGTATCTATCAGAGTCTTTCTGTGTCCATCCAAAGTGATCTCAAGCCCTGCTATAAAGGTAAGAGATTTCCCAGTGGAGTAGCTATAGATGGAGTTTGAATTTTTTATCCGTCAGGACTCAGCACTAATGCTAATCTATAGAGAGAGCTCTCTGAGGTTTCTGTTAGGGGTTGGAGCAGATTTCAGTCAGGGGGTTGTATGGATACAGGCTCCAGCACTGGTCCTATAACTTATGTGGTGGCTGGGCTGAAGGATGGGGCCACAGTCCCTCATTGATGATGAGAGGTGTTGCAGAACAGGCCTGTTCTGACTTACAGACCCTGTTTATTTATTTTTATTTATTTATTATTATATTTCTACCCTACCCTCCCAGTGAACGGGCTCAGGGCGGCTCAGAAAAAGGGCACCATGTGCCAATATAAAACAGTAAAACACCTAAAACACATAAAAACAACCATTATCAAAATAAAATGCTCAGCGGTGTTATTAAAGCATTCAGTCAGAGCAAGTGTTGGATCCCCAAGCATCGAGAATAAATCCACGTTTTCAAGAAAAGCAAAATTTATTTCAAAGCGTTGAAGACATACTCAAACACGTTCTTTGTTAGAACTGGGGATACACAGTTAGGGCAAGTATAATAAAGGAACTTCAAATAGATACAGGTCCA